AGATTTGGCTTAAAAACAGAGCTTAAATGTTCTACAAACGCTTCAGCTTTTTCATTATTGCATCTGCAGCGTTGTCCCCTGCTGTCTAGAATTGTGGTAGCTTTTCTAGTTGGTCTCTTAAGATACCTAGTCGCTTTCCAAAGGTTGTGATCCAAGTCACTTGTATACGGATCAAGATTCCTTAAATATTCTGCTGAAACTTAATTTTTTATTTCCCATAGTCTACTGTTTAAGCCATGGACTGCCTTGTTAAATTTTCTCTTGTCGATTGGGCTTCTCGTTGTCTGCCATATTTTCCGCAGTTTTCTTTCTTCAGCTATTTTTGCTATAAGTTCTAGTGGTAGAAAAGCTTGCCTATTTACATTATATTTTGGTGAGTGCTTCAATTGCCATTTCAACTTCATCACCTGACTTGAGTTAAGTATTCAGACATGTTCGGTCTTCTAACCAGCTTTTAAATCTGCTTATGTTGGTCTTACCATTAATCATATTATAAGACTTCTGCTTGTGACACACTGTAGTTCCATAGGTTGCTATAATCGGTGAGTGGTCAGAGCTCAGATAAAAGTTCTCTTCTATTTTAAAATTATTTTGCGGTAGCTGAGAGTAAACAATGAAATCCAACAAATCTGGGATCTTACGTGAATCAGTTGGCCAGTACGTCGGCTTGTCTGTCGATAAAGTTGAGTATTTGTTGAAGGTGATACATTTGTATAATTCAGCACCTTTTGGATTTACCAGCCTTGACCCCCACCATGGATGTTTAGCGTTATAGTCACCTCCAGCAATAAAGCATCTATCAAGTCGTTGAAATAGTTAATTGAAATCGTCTTCTTTGCATCCATATTTTGGTGTTAGATATATTGCAGCAATAGATATAGTGGAGTGCATGCATTGTACTTGAATCTATGCAACTCGCATAATATTTGTGCTGTGTATTTTAAAGTACTTTTTACAATAACTGCACTTCCTCCTTGTGCTCTTCCAGATGGGTGGTTAGCATTAATGATGTTAAACCCGCTAATGGCCATATAATTTCTGTTAGTAAAATGTGTTTCTGAAATAATTAATATATCAATTTTGTTGACTTTAATAAATAAGGTTATTTCATTACGATGACTGGAAAGCCCGTTAGCATTCCATATGGCTATGCGGAGATCTAATTGCATAACTTATTTACAAGTAACATTATCATATTAAGTAAATTATTTGTTAGTTAAGATTGTTTTACTAACAGATTTTCAATTCTTTCTAGAGAAGAGTTTTCTTTTACGACAGGGTCACATCGTAGTACTTGCGCATAGCTTGCATTATTTGTGTGTTTGTTGACAATCTTGGTCGTTCATTAGCCATTGCTGTTTTGTTATCGATAGATTTGTTTTTGGTAATAGATTGATAAACTCTGCATCCTTTGTAGTTAGCAGCATGGCTCTCAAATCAGTTGGCACAGGTGGTTGGTGCATCTTTCGATTTAGTACAATTGACGCTTGGGTGATTACCAGCATCGAAAGCATTGTACCATGTCGCTCACTTTCCTTGGCGGCTCGATTGTTACAATGGCATTCTCAACCTATTTTGTTTTGTAGATCTCCACATTGTTTTTACTTGGTTTCAGGTCTACGAAAAACATTGGAAGTGGCTCCTTGGTAATACGACTCTTGATATTGTGAATCCCTCTGACTGCGTGACCTTGCTTTTCTATTGCACGCTTTATTGTGTCGATGGGTGTCGAGTGATACAAGTTTTTAATTACAACTCTAAATGCCCTTTCCTGCTTTAGTTGAAATGTGTGGTAGTCTACTTTTTTAGCCGTTAGTAGTTTAACTATGCTCCTATATTTTTCAATAGTTTTTATCACAATGCGAATATGTCCGTCTCGTTGTGTCTTATAGGTGAATTCAGTGGTTCCAATGGGGGGGCAGAGGAATTGAATAAATCCATGTCACTCACATTGGGAACAAAAATTGGAGGTGTGTCCATTTCCACTTCATCAGTTGTTTCATTTGTTGATTCGTCGCTTCGTCTTCCTTGTCTGCCAATAGGGCAAAGAGGTTAGCTTGCCGAGATGTAGAAGGGCCTGTGTAGAGACTTTTCCTTCTCACAGATAGAGACTCTTCATTTTTCCATTTAATTTATTGTGGAGTTGTTGGTACTTTTTGCCACGCAAAAATATTGCTTTCACCAACGTCTCCTAGAGGCATCATTTTGCAGCTTAAAAGCAGCCGGTTTGCAGTCGCTACTTTTTTGTTTTTGTTTTAATTGTTTATTCACTAGTTATCACTATTTTGCGCGTACACGACCGTACTCTTTGAGAGCCTAGGACAGCCGCAAAAAAATTTAAAATTTGAATTTTTTAAAATTAAATTTCACAGTGCATACTTGTGTGAGTCACAAGTAGAGACAGATCCTAAACATGACGATTTTTATGCCTACAATTATAACCCTTGTTGACATGAACACACCTTCAGTCTGAATTAAGAAGTAACCGAACGTTCTATATTACTGGAGCCCAACAGGGCACAGTGAGTACAAATTAATTCAAAGTCGTAATTGGTATGATTTTGGGATGTACAATTTAATGAAAGTAGATGTTGTGATAATTTGGTGAGTGGATAGCGTTAGATGAGGGCAGGATGCTTTTTTAGGATAACTAAAAACTCCAATATCCATCGGTGGAAGTATGGCTGACTACCGTCGTGGAAGAGACAGATGGCATTTACCAGTGTTGTCACTTGCCTGCAGGACACACAACGATGTGGTAAGTCCAAGTCCACCTCGCAACTGATAGTTCCCAAATAGATGCGAGAATGGGGCTTTCGTTTCAATGGCACGGCGAAACCGCTGGAGTTGTTGGAGTGGTTAATAAACACCTGTGGCTTAAATATGGACCTGACTTTGAGAGCGATGCCAAGAGCTGCTCACTTTTTTGGCTTTTAAATGGTATGTAACAAACATCCGGCATTGCGTGCCTTTCGTGAACAGTTTTCAAAAGCATTTTTTGTCCAGAGTTACTTTGAATATTTAATGAACAAATTCACTCGGCGACGGTAAATTGTGGTCGAGTCATTTAAGATATGGAAGAAATGCAAACCCTCATGATCTTCTTGGCACTGACAAGGCTGGGGAGAAGTTGCGGCAGAAAGAACGATCAGAGCATGGTATCGTAGTCGAGTAGTCATACCACCAGAGCTGGAAACAGAAGATGGTAGACCCCGATATCCCGCTTAAAGGAAAATCGCCAAAAGTCTAGAATCCAACCAATCTAAAAACGGCTAGCGGTTAGACATCTTGGAAGCCAGAAATCGATCGCTCGAGTGGCGGCCAGGTACTCGCCCGGCCTATATCTTGAGGTGCGTGTACACGTGTAGCGCTCTGAATTGCGATACGAGTTCAGCTAACTACATGAAAGCAAACGCCTTCACAAATCTCAGCAGTGGGTAACAGTTTTCGCTGGTTTCGTAGGAAACTAGCGAAGTCGAAGCATGGAAGCGTTATGTAACTGGTGTTTATCGACCGGTTTTCCAAGTAGACAGATGGGTTGTCATTGAGAGGTGCTAAGATGCCTGCGCTCCGAAAGGCATTCCAGGAGCGGATATTGGCGCCAAAAATGATCATAGAGAAAGTCACTAAATTTACGAGTCAGGCGCCTCAATCTGACAGCATAACTTTAGAAATAATCAGATAAATAATGAAAATAATAAATAAATTGGTAGCTTTTTTGGGTTAGACACTACTTTTCGTTTTTTCTTTTGGTTTTGATTTGTCTGCAAGCAGTACAATGTTTATTCAGAAATAAATCTAGTTGTGAATTAACGCAATAGTTTTTCTGTTTTCGGACTTTTGTATTATTTCGTCAATACATCAGCTTCTTTGCTGTTTATGCTTATATGCTAACTGTATTTCTTTGTATTATAGTTTTTCACGTCCAAAGTGATTATTTATGTCGATTTGCTCATATTTCCTATGCATGTGCACACATTCAAATGCGTTTATTCTTGTCTATTCGAAGAATAGAAATTGCGATTGAATACTGATTGAATTATCAGCTGCTACTCAACTTCAAATTTGCAACTCTTCTTCGTTCGAGACCGGTGGAGATGGATTATTTTTTTAATGGTTTTTTTTTATTTATGAAGTGGCGGTGTTGGTAGAGTTGGTGCGCGTTGCGTAAAAATAATGGGTTCAAATCCTGGTGCCGTCCTGTCGATTTTTTTTTTTGATAACTCGATACTACGAAAAATATTAAAAAACTCAAAGAGGACTGGGATCAGGGTATCTCTTAGTCGACTAGAGCTTTCTTATTTGTTTTATTAGGAAGTGACAGTGGTAGAGTTTATGCACGTTGCGAAGGCAATCTTGGTTAGAATCTTGGTGTCGTAATGTGAATTTTTGTTTATTTTGGACTGGGGTAAGGGCATTATTACTTGTTTTTTTTTTTTAATATGAAGTGGCGCTGTGAATAGAGTTGATGAGCCTTGCGCACGAGATGTTGGTTCGAGCACTGGTATCAGAATGTCGGATTTTCCTTTTTTTGCTCTGTACAAGCTATGGAAAATATAAAAACACACACAGGACGGTTGTCAGGATATACCCTAGTTATTTTGCTTGTTTCCTTTGGTGTTAGTTGCTACTTAGCGATGCAATGCCAGCAAGAGAGATTAAACTTGAATGCGAGTAAAATATTGCGTTCATTATTTATCATGTTACATGTTTGTTTATGTAAATGATAAATAATATTAAAAAATAAAAAAATATAATATGAATGCAATGAATCAATGAATGAATCATAAATACATCAAACTATAAGGTAAATATAAGAATTATATTAAGTGATTAAAGATGGACCTTTTATATGTAGTAAATATAGTGCATATAATGACATTTATGAGTGAGCATCAATTAATTAACTTGAATGTTAATTATGTTTTAATTTTTTACCTATATGTAATGTTGTAGATCGAATTTTGGTTTTCACATCCATATTTTATTTATTTTACACAAATTGTTAGTCTTACACATTAAAAACTTTTCTTTTATTTTTTTTTGTTCTTAAGCTTGTGCTGCAATATTCAAAGCGCAACGTAGATCATCTATTAAATCATCAGAATCCTCAAGACCGACTGATAAACGAATAAGAGCATCAGTTATACCCAATACTTTTCTGTCCTCAGCTGGTACAGAGGCATGTGTCATGATAGACCTAAAAAATAAATTGAAAAATACCATTGTTGATTGATTGCATTGGTCGATACATGTGACATTTAATACCACATTATGAATTCAATCCAAAAATAAAATGATGCTTTCAGGAATACCTCATATACCTTTTCTCAATACTTACGGTAATTCAGCCAAACTCTCGTATCCCCCAAGACTCTCGGCCAATGTAAACACTTTTAGGGATTTTAAAAATGCTGTAGAATGCTTTAGAGATCCCTTGATATAAAATGAAAACACTCCGCTATATCCATATGTTTGTTTAAGAGCTATGGCGTGATGTGGATGTGATTCCAGCGCTGGATGGAGCACTTTTTCAACAAATTCATGTGATTCAAGAAATTTAGCAATATCGATTGCATTTCGCTGGTGTTGTTGCATGCGTAATGATAGTGTTTTAAGACTACGGTTTACTTGATAACAATCAAATGGAGACGGAACTATACCAATAGCTGCAATAAATAAAAGCATTATTAAGGGTTCAGCTTCTTTCAGTTTATAAACTTACCGTTTTGCAAAAATTTTAGTCTAGAATATAGATTATCACAGTTTAGTGTTATTCCACCCATAACAACATCCGTATGTCCATTCATGTATTTTGTTAATGAATAGCACACTAAGTCCGCCCCCAAATCGAGGGGTCGTTGGAAATATGAGGTAAGAAAAGTATTATCTACCGCAACTATTATGTCTCCAGTCTCATGGCAAATTTTTGCAATCGCTTCGATGTCCGCCACTTTTATAAGAGGATTTGTTGGCGATTCTATCCAAACTAGCTGGAAAAAAATTAATTAAGTAGAATTATTATTTTGAAACATGAAGCACCCTAAGTTTCTTATTTTATGGAAGTTTTTTGGTGCCGAGAACATTAATTTTATTTCGCTTTTGTTTGATTATATAATTATGGGAAACTTTCGCTGACTAAAAACTGACAGTCAATCTCCAATCTCCAGGTTTGTCGATATTCAAGTTTTGCTTAAAAAACGAAATTATAATAAGGAAATAAGTTATCGAAAAAAGATAAATTCGTACTACGAAGGATATGCATGAATGGTATACATAATTAAAATTTCAAGCTTTAACAATTAAATTTTACAAGGTGGCAGCGCTATCCTGATCAAGAATATATATACCTTATAAGGTCTGCCAAGCCTGTTAAATATATTTTTACAAAATTATTATACCAAAACCATACAAGCGTTATTAGATGTTCTCAAATTTTAGATTTAAAGCAAATTAATATAATAACAATATAAAATTATGCAGGGAAATAGTATTCCGTCGGAAATTTTAATTTTGGCCTGCACGCGACATGTTAAGCATTACATTATTATTTTTACAAAAATAATAAAAATATTTGAAGTTAAAGATATCGTCTGCCATAATAAATATAAATATATTATAGTATGACATACCTTTGTTTCAGGCTTAAAAGCAGCTTTAAGGTTGTTTAAATTTGTAGCATCAACAAAAGTTGCGGATATGCCTAAACGTGATGCCACTTGCCTAAAATTATAAGAAAAACTTGTCTATTTTGTCATAAAATTTTTTTTATATAAGTCTTACCTTATTAGTCGATTTGTCCCACCGTACACATCATCTCCCATTACAATGTGATCGCCACTGTTTAGCATTGTAAGAACAGCAGTAGTTGCACCAAGGCCGGATGAAAAAGTTAAGCCATATTTTGCATTGTCGAGCGCTGCTAAGCACTTTTCTAATACATTTCGTGTAGGATTTCCACTTCTTGAGTACTCATATCCCTACATAAAATATGTTATTATATAATATATTTATAAATTATAATTATATAATATATTTATATAATATATTTATAAATTATAGATATTTTAGTTTATGAGAAAAAACCTAAGTCGTGTATATTAAAATATATATTTATATTATGCTATTGAATGTATATTTTGATAAATAAAGAAACCATTCCGCCAAATATGTCAATGAGAGCTAAATAATAAGATCGTATTCAGTTTTGTAGCAGACCAATAGGAATGCCGTTCCTATTCTGATAATAATGTCATTGATATAGTGTCTTTGTCTTTCTATCGATAAGGAAAGAAGAATTAAAGAGATAGGAAAAGAAAGAATCAGACGCGAGAGGATTGGAGAGTATTTTTTTGAATAATGAGATAATAAAAAAGACGCTAACAATCTCAGGAGTAGGTTAAAATAAAAAAGATTCAGTTGTTTAACCAAAATAAGTAAGAAATCTCTAGCTGGGGTGCCCGACAAGGAGATTCCCTGATCCCAGTTCTATCTGCGTTTTTTACATTAAAAGAAAATAAATAAAAAAGCTCTAGAAAGCTCTCCGGGCATCCCGGCAGGAAATACCCTAATCCCAGTCCTATCTGTGTTTTTAATATTTTCCATTTAATATTTTTCAAATCTCAACTAAAGTAGCAGTTGAAAATTTAAACACAATTCAATTGCGCTTTCGGTTCTTCGAATAGAAAAAAATTTACGCATTTGAATGTATGTCTGCATATGTATAGGAAAAATACTTGGCCTGCTTGCAACGTGTTTTTGCAAATTGGCTAAACGTTTTGTTTAATAACTTCTGTTTTATTTAATGGACTTTAATTAAATTTTCAGCATTTGATCTACATATTATATTGGAGATTGTCAGCATAGTAAAAATGCAAGTTCCTTCAAATATTGGCAATATGAACTGAGCAAAAGTATTATACCCTGATTTCTCGTTTTCAATGGGATTAAGGTATAAAAAGAGTGGACGAATTTGAGCTTGCATAACAAACGGGAGCAAAACCAAATTTGTTGTCCTCATGAATGGAGTGTCGGCAAGTGAGCGTGAGCTACCGAAGCCAACGGTCAGTGCCCCATATCAATGGCAGTTAGAGCGTGTGTGAGTGTGAGTCAGCAGTGTGCGCAGTCAAGCAAGCCTAAACGAAGACGGCGCCGAATTTGTCGAACGTGACAACGACGCCCGCCATCATATCGCCGAGTCAAGTCGCGAAATAGAATAGTAGGCAGATATTTGGCAAAAGAAGAAAAATCCGAATTTACTGGCGAGGTGTCGATCTTCAATGGTTGGTAATGGTATTGGTAATAGAGTATCTAAAAGGAAATGCAATGCAATCGATGCCCACAGATCTATCACGAATTGTTAAGACACTGAATAAGCTGTCAAAGGGCGACCTGAATTTGGAACTTGTATTCTAAAGGGAATATAACTCCAAGCCAATGGGAAAGTTTATTTTACAATTACAATTTAAAAATACAAATACTGCACCAGATGAGGTCGAAAGTTTCAAATGCTTCAAATTAATATGTTAGAAGAAGAAAAGCAAGCATATATACCTAGAGCCTGAAGCCTGAGAAATCTTATATGTGTGAACTAAATAAAACCATTGAAGAATTATTATTATGATTATTTTTCGAAACGGCCAAGAATTTAGGATATATTTACAGGACAGAAAGATCTCAAATATGATTTGCAGTGAAATATAACATATAGTGATAGTTTAGAACATTTAGAGGTGAGAAAAAGCACAACCTTATCAATCTATATCACAAGCAAACACTGAACAGTATTTTAATAAACAAAAAAAGCCATCGACTAAGTACGTTACAGGATTCAATATACTGGTTGAAAATTTCGATAGCACAGTGGGCGTAGCAAGAAAATTAATATCTAAATCCAAATCTGCTATAGCTTAAGTACTGAAGAAATATAGCTACTTAATCAGAGGTATTGACGGCTTTGAAGAGGCCTGACGATGAGGATAGGAGAATTTTTGAATCAGAAACAGAAAGAAACAGACGCGAGAGGATTGCAGTGCTTTTTTGTAATAAAGAGATAAAAAGAAAGCCGCATATTCTGGTTATAATGGTTGTATTTAAAAAGTGTAGGTAGCCGGCAAAATAGGCTGGACGTTCGAGATATAATTTAATTTTTATTCTTATCGATCGTGTATTGTGCTTAAATGTATAGATATTATTTATAATTTTTAATGTTACCGATTTTGCCGGCTTATTATTGATTTTATAAAACAAACTAGTTTTTCACTCAGAAAATATGGACTTTCAGACCAATTTATAGGTTCTCTAATCGAAGGGTGCATACATACAGGCAGAGCTAAATTAACTTATCAAGAATATATAAGTTCACAAATAACCAACAGGCACTTCACCTTACGCAGCCCTCGAAAACATTGGGCCGGTACTACAACAGTCAGCGGTGGTAACTTAATACTCATAATATGTTGCGAAAGCAGCGTTATCGCTGATGCTAAATTTGTTTGTGTTAAGATTATTCAAAATATTTCATGTTTGTTAGTTTTATTTAAAATAAATACAACTCATTCTGACTTATATATATTATTACAAACCCTGAATTCCCATTTTTAGCTAGTCAAAAACCTCTGAAGCTCTCCCCAGAAGATGAGTTTATTATCTAGTATAACAACTAAGCATTTTTTTATTTAGGTTGGAATCTATTTTCATGTAATCAGAAGTAACTTCGTTTTTTGTGGTTAGAAGTTAAAAACCTTGGCTGATTACGTTTTGATAAGCTTCTACGCTATTTCTGTAGGTTATGTATGCAATGATATTCAATCAGAAACATATATAAATTTTTTCCCAACCTTTTCCAAGAATGTCGTCGTGGACAGTAATCCATGTCTTTGCCAAAGATTAACCACTGTGCGGTTAATAGAGTCACTCTATATCTATTCAAGCTAGTTTTTGTAGCGTATAGTAGTAATTGATCCTACAATACTCCTCCAAGGAGGCCAGAATGTCGCTTCACATAGTTATATGTAGTAAGCAGTCGGGGTTTTATGACATTTTCTAACAAGTTTTTTGCCGTGTTCAGTGTTCACAAAAAACGTAAACTATTTTCACTAATTAAATTGTAAGGATCTACTTTAGTAATTTTACCGCTTAGCATGTAATCAGTGAATTGGCGATGTTGGTAGATGTAATGCCTGTTGCCAAAAATATGTTTGTTCAGTTTCAAGGATTGCTTTACGAACATACTGTATGGATGCGAGGACTGTGAAATCTAAAAATAAATTACTTTAATTTTTAAGATATCTGGCAAAACTAACCTTTGATTTATTATAATCACAGTTAGGGCAAATCTGTTGCAGAATTAGTTCAAGTTTTCTAAGGAGATGAATGTGTTTAGATGTGTCACAAACTGTACTCCAGGCTATCCTACGGCATATGTACTCTTCAAGATTTACACGAAAGAAAACGCTGCTTGTACAAATACGCTGTAAGACGGAGAGTATTGGGAAAACGTCATATTTTGCAACGCAACAAAAGTAATGCTGTACTTTAATAGTGTTCCAGTTCAGTTATGATTTCGAACTGAATTTCTAGCCGAGGAGTCGGGGAACTGGCATTTATAGAAGACACCATGAAAAATTTTAAAGATAAATTTGAAGAGAATTGCGGAAAAATTTGGCTTTATTAATAGAAACAAGACAACTTTTCAATTATATCAAGAGAATGATCCGAAGCATAAGGATATTAATGTATAGACTTAGCTCCTCTATAATTGAGGCAAGATTATTGAGTCCCGATCTGAGCCACATTTAACAAGTATGGGAAAACAGGAACCAAAGAACCGATTACAGCTAAAAGCTGATATTCTAGAAAAGTGGTAAAAGATCCCTCTTGAATACTCAATAAAGTTGGTCCATTCAATGAGACAACGGCTCCAGCATGTATTAAGTGTTGTAGGAGGTAATACTAAATATTAAAATTAGCATTAGTGGTGTATCAAGAGCCTTACCACAATTATAGTGGAGCCAAGTGCGTACATTAGTCTCCTTAAGATTAGATTCATTGATTAATAGAACTTTGTAGAAAATTTGGCTAATTATTATTAAACTAGCCAATTTTTTTCGCACTTCTCTTTAAATTTATATTTAAAATGTTGAGGCACTCACGGTGTCCTCTATATATGCAAGTTCTCCAACGGCTAGAGATGGACCCCCATACCACAACCGAAAGCTTATCAAATGTTACACTTAAAATTACGATTCTGCTTTCCAAGATAGTTAATGCCTTTTACCATAATCTGGATGGACCATAGATACTGTACAGTATTACTTTTGTTTTGGCGAAAAAAATGAGGTTCCCTAATATTTTGGCTCATGTTTATAGCAAAGCGCTTTTCTACATTTACCAATAAACTCTTGAAGAGTACTTGTGTCGTATGATGGCCTGGCGTACTGTTTCATGTGACACATCTAGGTCACGTTCTTTCTTAAGTGTCGGTACTGATATTTTCTAATTTTGGCCAGTCTTCCGCATTATTAAGCGGTTTGTCCGACTGTAAATCAATATCTTATGCCTACCTGTGCGCTTTAATTCAAACTTGCCTTCCGCGCGATTTATAACATTGTAAATGGTACAGAAAATCCTTCAATTAATTCTGGCACAGATATTTAAAAGTTAAAGCCAGACATTTTAAAAGTTAAAGTAATTAAATTTTAGGTTATTACTTAACATTTTACAACTAAATTGAAAGAACTGCAAAAAAAAACTGTATTAAGAGACGACAAAAGCATAGATAACTGTAAAGCACTGCTATTTCCAAGAATTAGATCGAATTTCGAATTCCAAGACGCAACAGTTTCGTTACAGCTTGAAAAGAGTAATTTTAGTTTTTCTTGTTTATGTTGTTACACATTTAAAATTGTGCCTTATTTTTTATAATCGTTTTCAAAACTGATTATTTTACAATAAATCATTAAAAATTCGTCTATTTGAACAAAAGGCTATTAATTTTGCAGCTAAATTCAAAAATTATATTGTGTAAAGATTTTCTTGACAAACTGTATACATCAGTAAAATTTGATATACACATAAATATGTACATATGTATGTATATCCATTTGTACATTTATATGCTCATGAACATATAATTGTGTGTTCATACACACATACAGTTTGACACGAATGTGTTTTCACATGGGAAAAAAATTATATTTTTGTTCTTTAATATAAAAAAATATACTAAGTATGAGATTTCAATATTTTTTAAAATTATATTATGTTTTTTTTTTCAAATTATTGTCTTACAAAAATAATAATAATAACAAAAATTAAAAAACTATTAACATAGGCATAAAAAACAATAACAACTAAAACATATTCAAATTCATACTATTATTTTTTCTTCATGGAAGGACTTACACGATGCTGTCCTGGTGCATCCTGTTTAAATGTAGTGCTCAATGATATCGGCGGTATAACACAAGCACTCTTCCACTGCTCCGGATCCTGACCGGCGTGAATAGATTTAGTGGCGAAACCTTTTGGTTGAACTTTAAAACTCATTATTGATAGATGCTTTTACACTTGATGAACACTTGTTGATCACTGTTCCCGAACACATGGTTTCTCTGTTCTTATTGGCGTTGTTTATAGGCCATTTACACTAGAATTTTTCTAGTGGAACGAACGGAATATAAATACGACGAGGTCGATAGATTATTTTGCACTCATATATGTATGTATAAAATTTGTGCCTATTACAATAAGAAAACCATCATCTACAAGGTACATATACTCAGAAAAAGGGTGTATGTGTATATTAAATTTGATATGTAAAAACCTAACAATCGAGAAAGATAGCATCGAAGGATTTTAAAACTAATAGATTTTGCCGTATTGTTCCGGCCACTAACAGTCTTCAACTTTTCAGAATATATTTACAATATTATTAATTTCAAAACTAACTTTATAATAATTGACATAAACGATAACAGTAAAATATAAATAATATAAATATTCTATATTTATTCCCACTATTTTAAGAGTGCCTATTGTTTACTCATTAAATCTGTGGCATGATTAGTATCACCTGATTAAAATGAGAAATCATGGCATAAAGGTTTTGCAAATGAATGTAACATATATAATATAAATATTCTTGTCATATATATTCACTATCCGTCCGTCTGTCGTATATGTGAACGCTACGATCTCAGCATCTATAAGAGCTGGAGACTTGATGTTTTTGTAGGTATAGCACGTGCATGTAAAGTTTGCTTAAAATAACCGACCACTGTTTTCTTTTTATTGTTATCGATTAAAAACATGATCCAAACGCAGTTTTGAAATGATAGCTCTTTCAGCTTAAGGGGCTGGAGCTTCCAAATTTTGTATTTAGTTTTGTGTATAATTTTTACAGTTTTGACTTTTGTTATATTGTGGATAACGGCTCAAAATTCCCCCAAATTCTTAAAATTTAAGTTCAATTGAAAATATGAAATAGTTTGCATTTTTACTAATGCAATAGATTTTGTAGATCATGTGCTGAAAATTGCATCACCATCCATTATGTAAAACATAAGTCATTAAGCAAAAGGTTTGCCCTTTTTGCAAAAGCACGTATCAGCGCCAAGCTCGAAATTAAGATTGAATTCTGCTTGAATTGTCAACTGCACAAGCGGTGCAGAGCAGACAGGTATTGGGTTCGATGCCAGGCGACGAAGGGACATTGTTTGGTTTTTTTTATTAATTATGAAGTGGCGGTGTTTGTAGAGTTGCGTTGGCAACGTTGGCACGAATCTTGGTGTTGGAATGTGCGTATTTATTTGTTTTTTTTTTTTATACTCGATACAAACTTCTGAAAATACTAAAAGAACTCCAGATAAGACTAGGATGAGGGTATCTCCTAGTCGGGTACCCCGTCTAGAGTTTTCTTACTTGTTGTTAAACATGCCTGTGTATGTCAGAGGTGAACAGACTTTTCCTTTTTTATACCCTAAACCATTGAAATTTGGAATTTAGGGTATACTAGTTTTGTTAATTGTTTGTAACAGGCAAACGGAGACGTGATAAACCACATAAAGTGTGTATTCTTAATCAACACAACGGACTCAGTTGATTTAGACATGTCCGTCTAGTCGGACAACCATTTGCACACAAATCTAAAGACTTGAAATTTTAAATGTACTGCTTAGCACACGCAATTCGTATTTATATATTTTTCCAATAACTCACTCTGATTTCTTGTTAGCGATTAAAACCTATAAATTTCGTTTGTTTTTTAACTGTTGACAAATACTATAAAGGCTGGAAACATCCTATAATGAATACAACCACACATATTATTATATTATATTATACACTGAAAATTGTATTAATAGATTTCACAGCAAAAAACGTATTAAGCAAATAAGTTTCCAGAAAAAAGACTAAACTGCAGCCCAACCGCAGTCGCTGCGTAAACTTAGCCAGTAAGCAACGCTGTTGACTATATGTTGTTTCTATTGTGTGTGGAAAATAAATGTAGAATGCTAAGTTTCAGTTCTTTACAGAGTTCAGGGTATTTCGTAGTCGGTCATTCTCGACTAGAACACTCATACTTTTTTTATGTTATTTTACAGATAACGTTTGGCATATACTCAGATCTTTATAAGCTCTATTATTATTATTAAAGGTACCGTATAATGAAGCAATATAATATTTTTAGGAAAAGATAAGCCTGTAACGAATCAATATGTGTACAATAAAATGTTTTCGACCTTCAGAATCACTCGAGTGAAAGCTTCTATCGCCTAATAAAGTACACATAAATCATAAAGTACTGCAAAATCTAGGCAGAAGTGAGGACATAATGCAAGGCTTATAATTTAAATGTATATAAACACCATTTAAAACCCCGCCATGATTTTCACCCTTTTTAAAATACGCAATACAGTCTCCGCCATATCATACTTTATAAAGATAAAGTAGAAGTACTTTAATTGACTGTTCCCCGAATAAAGCTCTGCGAAAAACTGCGATTTAAATCATTATACTTTTCTTTTTCAAATACATATAAAACAACAAAATTATAGAAGCACATATAAGCACTCAGTCTGCTTATTGCGCAGTTCACGCGCCGTCAGCTCTGTATTATAATAAAAGATTAAAAATTCTTATGGTATACATGAATATATATTTAAAATTTCAATGCCATTAATCCCTGAATTCTCCTTTTCAATAAGTTCAGGGCAAAACAAACTACTCGACTAAACGTTGCGAAGAGGCTTTTTTTCAATTATTATGCACCTATTTTATACAAACTTTATAAACAATATATACACACATGCATACACAAGTTACCAACGCAAACCAAAGCGCTGAACCCCTTCAAGCCACCCCTCAGTGTATCAAAGCTGATAAACCGCGTAGCTTAAACTAAGTATATGTCATTAGCCAAATATTCAAATTTTTGGTGAGAGCAAATCATGCCGATTCTTGGAATATCCATAATGTACCCTGAACGCGGTCCTATTGGTGATTTTTAATATTTTCCATAGCTTGTATAAAAATAAAAACCGACATTACAACACCAAGTTTCCAACCCACATTGTCTACGCAACGTGCTTCAACTCTACCAACACCGCCACTTCATAATTTTTCATAACTAAAAACTTCACAATTAAAAAATAATAAAACCAAAAAAATGACCCTACGCCGCAAGGCTCGAACATAGAACTTGACATGTTGTTTTTGCAAATTGGCCAAACGATTTGTTTAATAGCTTCTGTTTTACTTAATGCATTTTAATAAAATTTTCAGCATATGATCTACATATTCTATTGGCTAGGTAAAGTGCAAAAGCCTTCACATAATGGTATCCGGTATCCAACAAAAAACAAAATTGCATAAAATATACTTACAAATAAATACAAAATTTTAGTCTCTAGCTTTTAAGACGTCCGAGATATAATTTATTAACTGCATTTCAATCATATTTTTATTCGATAACAATTAAATACGAATAGTTCACACATACGGACAGACGGAGGGACATGGCATTATACCCATATATAGCAATATCCTCATTTCCTATATTAATCAGCATAATTTTATACATGTTTCGCTTTATCAATAGAATTGATGAAAACCATGTGTCATTGTTAAGGTTTCATTGTCTAGGGTTTGATTGATCAATGCTCGAGAGTCATGTAGTGGAGTGGTTCAAAATTACCTTTTTTGTTTGATAACTTTTGTTTTACTTATTTGGATTTCAAGGAATTTTTCAGTATTTGATCTACATATTCTATTGGATTAGTAGAAATGCAAAATTGTTCACATATTGGCCCTATTTCTAACTGAACTTAAGTTTAATGAATTTGGGGGAATGTAGAGTCGGTATCCAAAATTAAAAAAAAAAAACTAAATTTTATAATTTAAGATCTGCATTTGGATTGTTTTTAATCGATAACAATAAAACGGGAATAGTTATCGAATACTTCAGACAAAGTTGATATGCACATACTATACATAGACCTATAAAAGAAATGTCAAATCTCTAGCTCTTATAGATGCTCAATTCACACATAAGGACAGATGGACAGGGCTCAATCAAAAGATATATTCCCATTTTATTTTCAATGGGATCAGGGTATAAAAAGCAAGAATGAGACTGCATAATATCCATTAACGGTCTAAGAGTTGCCAGTATCAATAGTACCTTAGTCATCAAATCTTAAGATGAATATAAAAACTCTTGAAAACAGTGAAAATAACAGATTTTATCGAATAAACTACAAATTCCAACTATTATTTTTATCGCCCTAAATATAAATTTTTCCGGCATGGCCCCTTTAGGCTGTAGAAGTTTAAGCGGCTTGTACAGACGATTATGTATTCCAAAATTCAAGTATCTACCTCCAACAGTGTACATAATATAGCTACATAGCTATATACACTATAGTCAGATCTAAATTGCCAAAAATTGAGACAGTCACTCACATGTTAAACTGGTATTCTTGCTCTAAATGGAGGATACATTTTTACTCCCCATCTGTCTGTCTGAATTGCTGTAAAACCATATGATCTGAAATGTTGAATGTACTCGTGTTTAGCATTTTATTTTTATGATAATTTTTTCAATTAATTATCCCATACAAATCAATAATTTGACTTCGTCTTTTAAGTCTAGCATCCATATTACTGAGGGCTCCTGTAGTGGACACGCACATTTAGTATACTTTGGATTTTTGCTACCTAACCGCCCTTTCCCGATACTTAGTATCGATACACGACGATTTGGAGGCTCCAAGAGAAAATGGCGCACTAACAGAACCCTGTATCCCGGTCCTGTCACCAATCCAGCAGGCGGCTTAGCTACGCGTTAGACCAAGCCAAATGCATTTGGGTACGTTGTGGAGTTGCGAATGAGACGACGTCACCCTTTTCGATACTGCTCTTACATCCACATCTCGGCGACTTCTTCAACGAAACCATAAGCGATACTCGATACTAAATATCGATACTAACAATCGATACTTGGTATACCGTGAATTTAGGCAGAAAGCAACTTTAATGTCTTAGCAGTTACGGAATGCATAATAAAATTATTACGCATCAATCTGAAGGCTTACGACCCGCTATAACATCGGTATAACATACCATACAATAAGGACCCAGTCAATTCTTAACCCACCAATCTGGTGCCAATTATGTATGTGATCGACGGTGTTCATTATACATTATTCCCATTGAAAATGGGAAACCCGAAAATAACCCTAAGCGAATAGATCATATGCTGAAAATTTCATTAAAATCCATTAAGTAAAACAGAAGTTATTAAACAAGCGCCAAGTGTACGCATTTTTCCTACACATGTGCACCCATACACATTCTAATGCGTACATACCTTTCTATTCCAAATTTTATAGTGGAAGAACTAACATTTTGGGTGCGTTTGGTGAACAAATTTACATTTTTTTTTGTGGGTTGTGCCTGATTTTTTTTTTTTTAAAGATACAAAACGCAATAATAATTGTGAAAAAGCGAAAACAGATATGGTTTGAAAAAGCTTACACTACACACACATTTTGATTGTTGATAGATAAAAAATACATGACAAGCCTTGACAATGTTACAAGATCTAAAACATAAAAAAATGCATCACATTACATTACATTACTAACATTAAATTGGTAACTTTTAGAGAAACATTTTTCACGCTATCAAGAAACTGATTACTCATTGCGTTTTGGAATTAACTTTTAAAATGATGATGTGGCATTGATGAGGTCCAATTGATATATTATAATTACATGTTTGGCAAATCTGTTCCAGAATTAATTGAAAGGTATAATATATAAATAAATTAAGATATTTGTAAGTTCATTTATTTTATTTATTTATGTCAAATGTTCATGACGAGCCACGTTGGTGTACTCCGAGCTGTATTTTTAATCTAAACTTAAATAACCGTTTATCTAGACGCACGGGATGCCGTCCGACCGCGGTTCCCGTTGCTCCTCTTGCTATTGCTGTTTGTCTTGTTGGCACGCACATCACAAACAACCGTTACTAATATTATAACAGTTATTTATATATAGAACAGACGACTGCTTAAGCACAGTATATTATCAAGACTTAAGTAAAAACCAAAAATATAAATGCAAGAGCCTAGCCTAGAGTGTTCTAGATGATCAAATAGGCTGACCTTACGGTATGTGCAAGATCTCATATAAGATAAGATAAGATCGTTTCCTGTGTTATGCAGCACATATGTTATGTTAACTTATATGTTTATAATATTAATCGCGCGGAAAACGAAGGCAGGCTTGAAGAAAAGACCACAGGTGGGCGTAAACGAAAAATTTACAGTTGGACAACACGCTTTATAATGCGGAAGATTCACAAAAATCCGCAAAAATCAACACGGACACTTGCCAAGGACCTTAAGGAAGAATGTGAATTAGATTTGTCACATGAAACAGTACGTCAGACCATTATACGGCATAGGTAGTCTGCTGCTTTTATTGGTAACACTTTAATATTGCTGTAAACATGATTAATCAGCCGGAAAACATGATATTTTGCGGCGAAATAAAAGTAGGCCAGTGGTACTATTATTTCGTCGCAAAATATGATGTTATTAACTATCTTTGAAAGCAGAATCATAATTTGATGTTTAAACACCATGATTGCCTCATTTTAAAGATGCATTAAAGAAAAGTGCGAAAAATTGTGGGTTGTTTAATAACAATAAGACAAATTTAAAATTCTATCAAGACAATGATTCAAGACTTAAGGGAATTAATGGGTCCCCTACAATTGTGAAAAGGTTCTTGATACACCACCATACAATTCCGATCTGAACCCCATTGAACATTTGGGTCTAGCTAAAGAAAAGACAGAGGAAACGGGATCCAAAAAACCCAACAAAGCTAAAAGCTGTTATCCGAGAAGTGTGGCAAAAGCTCCATCTTAAATTCTTAATAAAAATGGTCGATTAAAATTAGCATAATTTGTTTTCTATTTTAAGTTTAGAACAATCAAAGTGTTTTGTAATAGTGAACACGCAAAAGTCAGTGCGAGTTACATTTTCTCTCAGACCTGGAAGTGATCCTGCAGTCACATTAAACGGTCATGCTATACCTGTTAGTGAATCGCAGAAATTCCTATCGTTAAAACACTATATGCAAAAATATACATGAATAAGCTACATAACCAGGATAATGCTCTAGCACTAAGACTACTGGATGACTCAAGCAACCATAGGTGACTTAAAAGATTTCATGTCCAAGACTTGCCCCACAGAAATAGATAAATATGTAAAATTGGTAAATATATGTATGAATTAATGTCATTGGATCCCAAGCCATCCGGTTACTTAATATAATTGTTAAAAATTTAAAAACAGCAACATTAGAAAAAAAATATATTGTTAATTATTATTAGTTTACTTATTTTTTTTATAAATTAACTCAAAAAATATTAATAATAAATAAATATTAATAATAATAAAAATAAATATTTTTAAAGTGTTTATCATTTTTAAAACTTTTAATTAATTTTGAAATAAAGGTGATCAATTGTGCATCTGAAATCAAAAATTGTATTATTTTTTCACAGTTTAAAGAGTTGTTTGACAAATTGTATATAAGCACATAATTGGCGATAGTTCGTATGTGGCCGAGGATGCACGACTTTCCGTAATCGATGATTACTAACCTTGAGGCTCGTGTCATCCGTAAGTTTTTTTTGAAAACGACAAAAAATAGTACTATGGAAAAATAATCGGCCACTTGCCGATACTTGTTGTACCATAATTGCTATCATGAATTTCTCATGTGGGATTGTTGTTACTTAATCGAGCATAAAAAGTGAAAGCTTTATGAACATGCTTACATAATCAGGATAATTAACAATTATAGGATAATAGAATAAAATATTTCGCTCTAACAAGGTAATTAAATATGAATAAAACCCGAAAGCGTTCAATTATTTATTGTTCCACCTCTAAATGAATATGTGTACATACATTTTACTTTATGAATAATATGAGTATGCAATTAACATTTGAATCAATTCTTATACCAATAGGAAAGTAGTTATTAACCTATGTATATTATAAACAAAATATTGAAATTGTCAAAAGGAGGACATGGACCCGATAGAAATACTATCTATTAATGTATAGTAAGATAGTCCATAATCTCTGAGTATGGTAAATAACATATTTTTGAAGAAAGGCCGGTTCATTCCTATGGCATGTAAATGATATATATATTCGATTCGTCTCGACTTTAAATAGTTTAGCTAGCCAACTAATTAATTATTAAGAGTGACGCGTTATAAATATATATATTTACATATTTTTGTTTAAGATAAGATGACCTGGACGGAATTAATATCGAGTCTTTCCACAAATCCATATTTTGGTGCTGGATTTGGTTTATTTGGAGTTGGCGCAAGCGCAGCACTGCTTAGAAAAGGTCTACAAGGAGCAACAATTTTATTTCGCCGTCACTTAATGATTACATTAGAAGTACCATGCAGAGACAAATCATATCAATGGCTTCTAAAATGGATAGCTGTCAGAGGAGCTAAAAAAACACAGCACTTAAGTGTAGAAACATCTTTTTTACAAAACGATAATGGTCAGGTAAAAACAAGTTACGACTTCATACCTAGCATTGGGAAGCACTTATTTCAATACAAGAATAATTGGATTCAAGTTGAGAGGACAAGAGAGCAACAAACGTTAGATTTACATATGGGCGTGCCCTGGGAGTCTGTAACATTGACAGCTTTTGGTAACAATAAAAAAATATATTTTGATATCCTAGAAGAAGCCCGTGAACTAGCTTTACAGGCCACAGAGGGAAAAACACTGATGTATACAGCAATGGGTTCTGAGTGGAGACCATTTGGTCATCCTAGAAGACGTAGGCCTACATCTTCTGTGGTGTTGGACCTTGGGATATCTGAAAAAATAATTTCCGATTGTAATGATTTTATTCAAAATTCATTATGGTACACACATCGGGGAATTCCCTACCGTAGAGGATATTTGTTGTATGGGCCTCCAGGCTGTGGTAAATCAAGTTTTATTACTGCCTTAGCGGGAAAGTTGGAATATGGAATATGCTTGCTTAATTTATCGGAAAGGGGACTTACTGATGACAGATTAAATCATCTTCTAAATGTTGCACCAGAGCAAACAATAATTTTACTTGAAGACATTGATGCTGCATTTGTTTCACGAGAATCTACATTGCACCAAAAATCTGCGTATGATGGCTTAAATAGAATAACGTTTAGCGGATTGCTAAACTGCTTAGATGGTGTAGCATCTACTGAAGCACGGATTGTTTTTATGACGACGAATTATATAGATCGGTTAGATCCCGCATTAATTCGCCCTGGTCGAATTGATTTAAAAGAATACATAGGATATTGCACTCAATATCAGCTTGAAGAAATGTTCAAAAAATTTTTTGGTGACAATGAAATTTTAAAATCTGCGGAGTTCGCTCAAAAAGTCATCGAGTCATCGCGATCAGTTAGTCCAGCTCAAATACAAGGGTTTTTCATGCAACATAAATCTTCTTCGCCACAACATGTAGTAGACTGTTGTAGTAGCATTTGGGAAAATTAGTAATTAGTATTGTTTTTAGTATATTTTTATACATAAAATTATTGTTATTTTAGAAAAAAGTACACTGATTTACAAGTGGGCAAAGCCGTACGATTAAACAATAAATCTAAAAAATGTATATATTGAATGTATAATTTCTTTGTCTATATTATTAAAATGTATGAACGGTGTTTGGTTGATATTATAAATTACGCAAACATTATCAAACTTAGACTTATGATCAATATTTACCATCTATATTAATTTACACCCTGGGGAATATTTATTTCTTGATAGTATATATAGTAAGAGGCAGAATAAGGCGTAGCACAGTTTATAACGTATCTTATCGATTAGGACAAGGAGGTCTGAGTCTTTGTCCGCCTGAATGAATTCAGCGATCTTGTAAATTACAAAATGAGCTATATCCCTAAAATTCGACACGCGAGTTACTGTTCAGATCGACAAAAAAGTATAAATCTAAGACTAGATGCGTGCCAAGTCGACTATATTATTTTGTACAAATCCTGTTATATATATAAAACAAGTAAAAATGTTGCAGTCAAACAAGTCCTTAGAAAGGTTGATGCAATATCAGCGTCTTACTGAAATCATAAATATTGTGAAATACCCAAGGACGTACCAACACACTCTCAGTGTAACTGTCTCACACACATTCTCAGCACGCACTGTCACGTTCTGATACAGTACGTTCCGACATATATTTATTATTATAGTAAAGAGGCATACCTATATATATTCTACAGGTTTACAGTAAGAAACGTAACATTTAACAACTAATTACTGTTGAACTCTATTGATCTATTGATCTAATTGATATATATAATTTTCTTGAGAACGTGCAAATCGAAAAAAAACTCCTTACACAATTTTGGAGCTGGTTGCGCTACGCCCGACTTCAATATTTTTACTTATTTTATATGGGCGTTTCACTCATCAATATGGATTGGTTCCCATATTCATATTCATTCATATTCATATAACAGAACTCGTATAATAAATTAGAGACATATATATTTGCATCGGTGGAGGAGGTCTACGTCTCCTACAGGAGACGTGGCTAAGACTATAAAGAATATTATGATTTGTGGCGGGCTTCATGCTACCATGAAGCGAAGATAACTCCAGCAAAAAGTAAGCACTTTAAGATCAGGACTAAGATCAGAACACACACCCATGCCGAATTTAAAGTATATATATATATATATATATATATATATATATATATACTCACAATACTCAAAATAATCAATAGCTTATTAACGAGCACATCGACGTAATACTACTTTGCGAAACACACCTTTCATTATGAGAGGATACTTATACTGGTAAGGCACCCGGTGTGAATGACATTAATAGTTTTGCAAATGGTTAAAACAGGAAGAAGAACATGCTCAATGTCGTATCCCTGTTAGTTAAGTGATTGTTTAGTGTGAATATATATCGATTTTCTCGGTATGTATGTGGTCTATGGCTGTTATGTGTGAATATGTATCGATTGTATAATATTAAGGAGACGGATCATGCTTCAGTCACTTTTTCCGGCAAAGCTGAGACTGACAGGTGACTGCGATACAAGTCACCTATCTTAATCTTGAAAATAATATCTCTTATAGAATATAACACGTTCAGTGTGCTTTTTGATATTTTGGTTGACAACAATCCAGATCGGTCAAAGCTAATTAGCTGATGTAGCTCTGACAAGTCATCAGGTTTGTAAATTTGATTTTTTTTTTTTTTGTAAATCCAAGGAGCATTTCATTGATTCGTGTTCGGCGTAGTACTTGTTAATCAGCCCACTGTCGGTATTTTCTGTTAGCCCCACTACTCCATTCTGTACAGATACAGCTCTCAGACTACTTCAGCTGCCTCAGCAGTTGTATCGGCAGTTACTCGTCCCTCTTGGTCGCAATTATTCTAGTCTATCAATCATGCTAGTCTCGCCTTAGATCAAGTTCTTTTGGTAACTGCTATCATTAAGATAAACGATTCTACCAATTAGTTAGTAGGCTTTATACATACTAAGGTAAACTTTATAGCTGAAAGCAATAGCCAAGCAGTTAAAGCTAAGAGAACATAGAAAGGGAATTCAATTGTTTTGACGGATAGTCATCTGTTCGTCACAGTATTCAAACCTTGATAACATAACGAACGGACGATATATGATATTTTTGTATAAGCCAGAGAAAAAGTGATCAATGTACCTGAAGGCGTACTCTTCGCAGATGCTCAGTCCCACAAGCTACAACGTATAGATCTGCTGCTTATTGTTAATATCTTTTGTGATGTACTAGGAGAAAGCCGATTAAAGGGAGCTGCCAATTCTCCAACTGCAATGTACAGGACTTAATTGAATTGCATTTGGTGGGCGCCGATTAAAGGATATTATTGCTCGATCCTTGACTTTAACAAGTGATATAAAGGACGGAAGAAAAGCCAAATATATTATTATTATTTTTTTATTATTAGTTTATTAAGCCTGATCGTATGTCGTGCAAAGGTCCTGTTATAGGAAATGTGGTTACTTAGCCGCAATCTGATTTGCAGAATTTAATTGCGTCGCTACACTTAAGGTAAAATGCTGAAAGATCCATGGATTTCCTAATGCGTCAACGAGAGCTTACTGTTGCTACAGACGGACAGACAGACGGGCAAGGATAAATCGACTCAACTCATCGACTTGGGGGAAAGAAGCAGGTAATTAAAATCCAAAATATAAAAATTTTCTGTAGTAATTAGGGGAATATACATTTACGGTACTCAAGATAAAATTAAAAAAACCAATGCAAATTATCGATTCCCATTTTAAAAGGGTTCAGAGTATAATAAATGCAATTATGTCGGTTATACTATGTGACTGATTTAGTATTATATAAATCGTAGTTATTTTCAGTTGCTAAAAGTAAGGCTCATAATACTCATTCACGAAGAAAAGAGTATATTAGCCCATATTATAATGACATATTTTCATCAGTTGCACCAATTTTATGTTGGAGATTTACTTAGATATTTCCAAAACTAAATAAATAAAATAAAAATAAATTGTAGACTTCATATTTAGAATACATTATCCCTTTCCTCACAATTGATTAAAAAATCTATTTCAAACATATATATATATATATATATATATATAATTATACCCTGGAAATTTAATTTAAAAAATCTAGAACATAAGTTTTTCAAAAATTAAGCTCCTGAGGTACCACATTGACCACTAGCATCATATTTTCTATAGGTACTCCAGATATATTGGGCAAAGAATGAACAGCAATCCTACTGTCGCTACTTTCTTAGTTGTAACTCCTCATAAGCAAGTTTTCTCATTTAGGCTTTCATATGAGACTTCAATTTATTCAATAGTTAGGAGCTATATTATATTGCTTGTACATTTTAAGCCAGTGGCTTTATTTCGAACCATAATTTAACGAATTCTTGTAAGATTGTTTAATTTAAAATCAATGTGCCTGTTTAACTTTCCACAACTATATGTGATCCCAAATTTTGGGCCACTCATATAAGCTCCTATCTTATAAGATTATTTTCAAGGAACTGTTGTTTTCAATCCCGCCGTCTTCTGCATGTTTATAAACATTATAAAACTAAATTTGTATTATAGATATGTATGGAAATGTCTATGACTTGTTAAGTAGTGTTAAGTGAATAATAGAATAAATCATAATACCTGTGATGAATTATTAGACCTTTTCGTGTTGATGAATTCATTAAAACAGTTGCATGTGTAATTTTAAAATATAACTTAAAATATCAAAGTGACTAATTATATAGTCTAGTCTGGAATATTACCACATTCTGTTATCATTATATTATTTTTCAATAAATTTATTTTGATTTTATTTAAATAAAAAATATTTAAAATTTGGAAAAGTTTTAATATATTCTAAATTCGTGAAATCTATCTTTCTATCATCATTGGTTTGAATGTCTGTAAAGTTTGGGATGTATATATATATACTGACCGGCTATTCTAAGGAAACCTTTAATTTATTTAGTGGTTCTGCGAATAAATTTTGTATTAGGTTTAAAAAGAACCTTTTTTGTTGAAATTATATACTTTTGTCAAGTTTTAATTTAAGATTGGCGACTGCAAGTTTTACAAAGTCAAATTGTAGTGAATGCAAGTGTTCTTCGCGAGCGGTTGTAGATGCATCGTTTTTTACCACACAATATTTTTTATTAAGGGACGCAAAATATTATTCATTAATACGAAGACATTCATAGTGGAAAACCCTACACAGCCTGGATCCATTTCGACTTTAATAATTTCATAAATGACTTTTTTTAAAATTTAATTTAGAATTACGGTGAACTTTTATTGTCTTGAAGCTTTTTTTAATCTGGTTTTTATAAATGTGTAGTGTGAAGGTTAGTTGTCATTTACTGGTATGAATGGGGCAATAGGTAAACCAAAAACATACGACAACATCATATTATTAATTATTCATTTTATACCCTGACTCTGGTTTTGTGCAAATGTTTAAATCAATTGTAGTCTAGTGTGTGTAAGGTTTAGGTTGGCTTGGATGAGGTAAATAAAATGGCTTATTTGGGATGATTTGTTAGGATGGTTAGGTACCAATTTTAAAAGTTAAAATAGCCCACTCGCTTTTACTCCACAACACTCAAGCGTATATTTAGCGACAGCTGTTGTAGAGAGAGTTAAGCGATACAGAATAGAAATCCGCTAAAACGTAAGCTCATTTGGATAATATAAGATGTAAGCTTCTCTTCATTAATATAGCAATCATAACATAAAAGTTCGCAGACTCTATTGGTAATTTCATAACATCACATCAATATCTTACCGATACGACATATATTTACACCGCGTGTTTAATTAAGTTATGCCAATTTAAAAAAATAAAGCAATAAATATATATATACCTTATGATATAATAGACGAGATGCACGATAAGTTTGATAAACAGAACCATTATTTGCATAACAAATTTTAACAATTTGAAACGTTGCTTAGGTGTCAGCATATCCTTAAATAAACCAAGGTTAAACAGTAACTATCAGATAATATATGTGCTGTCAAATATAGCTGTGTTGTCAACTCAAAGTTGAGATGTTGAGTTTATTCACCTATTTATCCAAAGCATGGTAATGTGTTTACTACCCTTATATCGTTTGAAATTATTGTATGCGGTATGTCCCGCTTTTCCCCATGAGGCGTATGTTTCACTTCTGCCATGGGCTTAATAATGTCAAGAGTTTCGTGCTGACGTGCTGATCTCTGCATACGTTTTGTTGTATACCTTAGGTATTCTGGTATTTGTGCTACGGAAGAGTCTTTTAATATCCTATCATTTTCTATAGGAGTAAATTTACAATCTTTTTATATGCGGGTTTTACTCACTATTTTAAGTTTCTAGTACCAATAGTATGAAAAATATAGCAAAATTTGTACAAAACACTATATATTTCGATTCGATATTGGTCGTTCTGCGCGATTTTTTGTTGCTGCCGCTGTACCTCTTTGAATGCCATTTCTCAACGTAGACTTTTCGAGGACTCCAAATTGTCTTTTTATACCCTGATCAAATTGAAAATGGGAAAAATATTCTTAATCTTGATTTGGCAGGAAAATCCATTAAGTAAAACCGGAGTTATTAAGCTTTTTTTTCTATACATACACTCAAATGCGTGCGTTCTTTTCGAAATTACGAATGAATTGAATTGGCAGAAGCGGCGCTTATAGATGCCAGGTCCTAGGGTCGAGCCAGGTGGCGAACCTGTGTTTTTTTGTCGTTTTTATTTTTAATTATATTGGTAGTCTGTACGCGTTGCGTAGACAACGTAAGTTCAAAGCTTGTTGTTTTAATGACGGTTCTTACTTGTTTATTTTTTTAATACTCGATAAAAAGTATTGAAATTATTAAAAAAACCGATGGCACTAGGATCAGGGTATCTTCTAGTCGGTCAGAAGCCTTTTTACTTGTTAAAATTTTACACATTATATATATATATATTATCTATCTAACAGATTCATATACATATATATTTTTGAGTATCCCACCACTGGTGGGGATAATCAGAGCGGTTCGAAGGAACAGATGAATGACATACAACAGCTTATTTGAACTCCAATATATGAGTTACAACAGCAGATTTTGAAATGTTTCTAACTAACTACTGCCATGGTTTCACACAGAGTCAAAATCAAACGATTTTGAGCGAAATTAAACTTTTGGAACTTCAAAGCTTCATTTGAGGACACATAAGCATTAAAAAAACAAAAATAATTGTATATATATTAAAACCAATAAATTAAATAAATACCGAATAATATATAGAATACGTATAGCATTGAACGAAAGGTTTATAAGGAGTTAAACAACTGATCGCTTTCGAAAAGTATATGAAAAATAAAGTTATTTGTTAATTAAACGGGATCAACATAGTAAGATGAAAGCAATGAAAAACCGAAATACGGCACTAAATGCGATAGATGCTTATGACTACTACAACACACTTGGAAATGACCACCAGCTAGGACCCATAAAAATACAATCCTAATGCAATTTAATGTATAATAATGTAGTTTTACTTTTCTCTCAATTTTAGTACCAAATTTACTTAATTTTGTTTACTCGATTTAAAGAAAAATCTTTACAGAGGTCAGAAATAAACTATCGTTCTCAGCAATAAAATACTGTTATACACTGCCATCTTTATTGATAGTTATACAATATTTATCTATTAAAGTTAAAAAAACCATTCTTGAAATAACATTTCATATTCACCAATTGCTCTTTGAAAAGCTGTTTGTAATACGTTCTTCGGATTTATATGCAATTAGCAGGTGGCATTGGAAGAGATAGCTTCCCACACCCACACCTCTAATCCGTTTGGATAAGCGGCTTAAATGATAATCTTCTGTACAGAGATAATGATAAAAGTGAAACCAAGCCCGGCTTTAATTTTTTGAAGACCAAATCACATACACTTGGTACTGTACTCCGAAGCTTATTGTGAGGAAATTTATAATTGTTTTTAGTTAGTAGATATACATTTTTTTCAAATTAGTCTGTGGACCTTTTTTGATTCATACATGTGAGTAGTGAGTTAGATAACTTGATGATGTGGATCAACCGACCAATTACCATCAATGAAGTCTTTTCGACGGAATTAGTTAATTCCAATGTCTTTCAGAGTTTTTAGCTGTTTATGGTCCATATAAGCAAGCTTCAACGTAAACTTCAATCATTAATTTCTCCCTAGAGGTAAGCCAACATTTTGCAATTTTTTCCTAAAGAGGATCCATTCCTCAGCCTACACAAAAAACATTTGGTAATTGTAATTACGCAATTGAGCGAGATATTCAAAATTTAATTTGGGGCGCTAGCTGGTTGACGCAAAAAAGTGCATGTTTTTTTCAGAGAAACAAATGAATTAAAAGGCGCTAACCTGATGGTGACCAATTTATATGTTCTTTCTACGGGTTCCTGAAGCCATGCTAATTGACTTATTGTGACCAAAAATAGTTTGATATTTAAATACTTGAGTAGTTTTTTCCAATATTTTTTAATGCTTGATGTAGAATTGCATTCTTTAACAGCATAAGTTTTAAATTATGGATAAGGTTTGGATTGACAAAAGTTTCTATAATAATGCAGAGAAGCTGTATCATGAATCTATCTGTAAAGTAAGTACAAAAATATGTGCAACTTATAGAAGGGCAAGTATATCTGTTATGTATTATTGCTTAGGTCGTAATACGTACTATATTATATATTAAAGTTTAATATTTATTTAAGTATTAAACTAATTATTTTTATTCCTTTCACCAATATATATATATATTAATTATCGAAAATGTTTTATTGTTTATATATATTATATATTGTGCAATGTTCGTCTTGGTGCCATCCGTCTGTCTTTATGAACTCAAACCATTTCCTCGCTATTGAAGTTAGAGAGTGACATTCGCAATGTATACTAATGGGTACCCTCGTTTAAAAAAGTTAAAACCGGACGTAGAAAAACAAAAATTCTATATCTGGTATATTGGAAATGCTACTCTTTAAAGTGCCATAGATTTGCAATTTGGGAGATCTCGTGACAACCAAGTTTCGAATGTGGATATATTTGGCAAGTGAGTGTTAAGTCCTCTACAGATCGTCATATGCGTGTAAAATCGGTAATGTGTATTAAGTGTGTTGTACAAATGTCATATTTTGCTTCAAACTTGGAATATATACTTGTGAACACAACGTGCATATAAAAATATATTAATAGTTTCTTATAGAGAAGAAAAGTTATTCAACAAATAAATTCATATATAAATGTATCGGTGCATGTGTAGTATAGTAGAATGATATTAATATCAGGTGCAGGTAATGTTCTCGTGGGGAAGTCCCCACTACAGCACTTACTTATATCCTATTCGGGTACCCCCGACTAGAGTTTTCTTATTTTTATACTATGAAAGGAGGCGTGGCACATGTATTGGTATTGGTATAGGTTTTAGAGATTTTAGGTATCGAAACAACACCCTGAAATATAATACGAATGTCCAGTTTATTTTCCATCGATAATTTGCCTAATATAATTGTAATAATTGTAAATTAAGAAGATCCTCCAAAAGTTTCTAGAATATTTTGTATTCTGACTAAGATTTAAATGAATGAAATATTATATAAATAAAACATTTAAAATAAAAAAAAAATTTTTTTTAGACTTCTAGGTCGAACAATTGCAGCATATTAGCTTCCGAGATTGCGAAAGCTAGAGAACACATTCAAAGCTCATTGGAAAAGGTAATATATTGTGGTAATGTATAAACTAACTGTGTAATAATTAAAATATAAATGATATACAATTTTTGTCGGAATCTTTTAATTTTTCAAATTGATGAAATATGTATCTAAAATAACCAGCCAATGGAATAAACTATCGAAGTATCTAACTATAATTTCCCAATAAGAATTCAACTTTACTCTCAAAAATGTACCATAACTCCTTGCTTTACGTAATTTTCATTCTAAGTATACCAAAATCTTAAGTTTCTTTAAGTTTTTGTGAATTATCAACCTGTCGAAATATTTTAATTAGAGTTATCAAGAAATTAATGTATGATTTGCACGAATTTTTATATGTGTAGGATTATTAGTATTTTACCTCTTTGCAGAGTTTAGGGTATCTCCTAGTGGAATCATCTCGATTAGAGGGCTCTTGATAAATAATATGTATTTTTTTACTTTTACAGATTGACGATATTACAGTTGAATCTTCTTCAAGTTTGGATATTTTAGGAAGAGTTGCAGCATTGGAGGCTGAAAATAAGGAAATAAGAAATATTGTTTCAAATTTTACTCAATTATATAATGATATTTTGAGGCGCATTTCCATAATCGAAAATGACAAAATTTCTAAGATTACAAATCCTGAACAATTATAACAGAAAAATTTGGCAAATAAAAACAACAATGTGTCAAACCTGCTTTAGATGTGTGTTAAACCATGCGTTTTTGAGAACAAAAAAAATTTGATTTTAGCCCACTGATAACAAATTGAACAAATTGTAACCTAAATAAAAATCTTAATAGCATTTTTACGTATTGTCGGCTATGCTATGTTATTTTCAATAATTATAATAATGAATCAGTTAAAATTGAGGGAAGTTAATGTAAATCTCAGAGTTTCGATTGTGACAATGATGCCGGAGCGCTTAGTAAAGAAAGATAAATGCTTTCCTTATCAGAGAACATCGGCCTCCAATAAAGATTAATATGATCCGCTCATTTTTTCCCTCTATCCGCTATTCAATGCAATGACAAATCTGGGTATTATCCAACAAGAGAACATAATAATGTACGCAAAGGATATGAGTTCATTAATCATTCAGCACATGCTACATCACAACTTACATTACATTATCAATTTTGCAGTCTTAATAAAATATTAAAATAGTAATTATGATTTCATTTAAGAAACTGAATTTGCATTTCATTTAATTATACAGCGCATAATTAAGTTAATAAGTCATTTTAAATATGCCAAATCCATCTTATTTTTTTTCTATCTTCAATATACGTAAAAAACAGTCAGAACGTATTTTATATTCTTTTTGAACTGAATAGTAACTTTCTGCAGAATTTGGCTTCCGTTTTATTATACAGGCTTGTGGCTATACAATCTTGGGAAATAAATTGAATAATATTATTGGGGCTAATATTAAATCTACTAAAGTAACTTAACTAAGGTGTGCAATATGATAGACTGCGTCCGTGCAAATTCCAGATTTGGTTTTTTTTTGGATACTGAACAGGTGTTCCCTTGACCAGTGTCTCAGAATCGCTGCTTGATTTTGGAGATCAGCTGCAATCTTCTTAAACATCTTAACTTTAGGTCGTCGACTTAGTGCGTTGGAGTGAGCGACAGCAAGTGTTGTTCCGATGACGAGATGCGTAGTCGTTTTGTTTCTGCTGTAAGCGACCACTGGCCCCGATTGAGAACGAGCTTACATAGCAGCTGCCTTGGCATTGAGTACGTCCGTAAGTTTCTTGGATGGGTCGTGGATGCTGTACACAATTGGGGGCACTGTCTCAGTACAGCTTCCTGAGAAATCCACATTGTACACATCCTTAAAAATAAAGCATACAAATATTATCCATTATTTGCGATAACGGTTTCGTCTTATAGAGATAACAATGCACGTAATTTTGAACCACTGCGCTACATGACTCTCGAGCATTGATCAATCAAACCCTTGACAATGAAACCTTAACAATGACATGGTTTTCATCAATTCTATTGATAAAGCGAAACATGTATAAAATTATGCTGATTAATATAGGAAATGAGGATATTGCTATATATGGGTATAATGCCATGTCCCTCCGTCTGTCCGTATGTGTGAACTATTCGTATTTAATTGTTATCGAATAAAAATATGATTGAAATGCAGTTAATAAATTATATCTCGGACGTCTTAAAAGCTAGAGACTAAAATTTTGTATTTATTTGTATGTATATTTTATGCAATTTTGTTTTTTGTTGGATACCGGCTCCAAATTTCCCAAAACTCTTAAAATTTAAGTTGAGTTGGAAATAGGGCCATTATGTGAGGGCTTTTGCACTTTACCTAGCCAATAGAATATGTAGATCATATGCTGAAAATTTTATTAAAATGCATTAAGTAAAACAGAAGTTATTAAACAAAACGTTTGGCCAATTTGCAAAAGCACATGTCAGCAGCGCCACGCGCAGTCATGCGTGTGCACACATACATTCAAATGCTTGCATTCTTTTCTATTCGAAGAATCGAAATTGCGATTGAATACTGCTTGAATTATTAGCTGCTACTTAACTCCAAATTTGCAATTCTTGAAGGCGGTGCAGTGGCTGTGCTGGTTGAGGCTGCGCCCGTAAGCGGCTAATCCCTTTGATGAGACATTTTATATTGTTTTATTTATTTTTATATGTGAAGTGACGGTGTTGGTAGAGTTGATGCACGTTGCGTACAAATTGTGGGCTCAAATCTTGGTGTAGTAATGTCGATTTGTATTTGTTTTTTTTTTTTTTTTTGAATACTCTATTCAAACTACGGAAAATATTAAAAAACGCATATAGGACTGGGATCAGGGTATCTCCTAGTCGGGCACCCCTGACTAAAGCTTTCTTACTTGTTTAATATGTGGTTTTGATCGTCATGATTCAAGTTCATCAACTGAACATTCCCGCAAATCATATTACGCCAAGATACATTAGTGGTCAACCCATGGATGGTTGATACGCTTTGCCAACGAATGTGATCTAATTCGAATAAGGAATTTGCAACCAATGCAGCATAACCTGCAAGTGCAATTAAAACACGACTTGATTTATTGGATAATCACGTACCTTCTTTACCGCATCCCACAAGGTACTTAATAATTCAGAAACACAAAATTTCAGCCGCGATTTCGTCATCAATTGTGTTACCTTCGAGTTGGCGATAAACAACCTGGTAGTTTGCGCACTTACATACAAACAGCAACCGTAAGCTATCGTTGACGAATCAGCGAATCCATGGACTTACCAATCTTTTGTCTTGATTGTTCCGAGGTACCTTGATTTATATGAAAAGGTAATTGGTCGTCCAACCTTAGCTTACATAACTACGTTTCCTGTAGCAGGAATTTTGCTCATCTTGCAATTAAATTATTATTGCTGAGATATTTCAAGCATCGAACTGCTAAGAACGGTGTTATTTCTTACAGTATTCAATTCAATTTGACAGGACAATTTAGCGATGTCTGCTGTAACATCTCAAGCATGAACTCAAAAACGTAGGAAACTGTTGCGAATGGTTAAATTGCAACTTAAATCAGGACTTGATGCATCAAACGCAACCCGCACTTTAGTGGATGAGCTGTGCGGTCTTAGCACGCATTGAACCGGATTTTTATTGTCAGTTCAGTTCATATAACCCAAAACCATTCACTCCATCATTAATTCAATGTACATAGGCGTAATATCATATGACCAAAAACAAAAGTGATATCAACACCGATCTATCCGTTATGTATAGATCTATCCGTTGTGGTTTGTGGAACTAAGAATCATCTTAATGTATAATGTAGTTTCACCTGATAGTACGAGAAATCTCATGATTTCTGTATCGACCGTTCCTGATGCAATCGATATTTGAAAGCTAAGTCGAACACACGACTGACATCATGCCCAGTAACCGAATTTCCTTTCTTTGTTTATGGGAGCCTGAGTACAAAAACGCTTTACAACTCACACCACATGCAGAATAAGTTTATTCGGCAGTTAACTGTTGACAATGTCTGTTGAAGTTGATTTTCTTCCCATTTTAAGAGTGTAAACGTCCACTTTGCTCAGTGGATAATAATGGCATCGGAAATCTGTTTACCATATCATAGAGATAATAGGGATTCATAAATCGCCCATGTTGAATCAATCAACAAGCGCAAAGATAATGCTGATGGTTGAGACATGTTAGGCAGGTCAAACAACTTGGAGATCCTATTAGAAAATGTTAGCCACATACATATTCCAAAACGTTAGATTCATATTTTTTTCAAGGATACAATGCCTTGGGGGTAATTAGCATGTAAATGCCTTGACAGCTGGCCAGTGCATCTTAGTCTAAGCATGATATCAATTAGATGAACCTCTTTATATTTGGCAGATCTGGGCTGTTCTTAACTAAAATATTAAAAAGTTCAATAAAACTGTTATATAAATTTGATAGACGAAACCAATCATGTTTGCATTGGCCTGACTCCTTTTTTGGTTGGTTTAATTAAGAAATCTTCCTCTAATGATTATTGAGCCATTAACAGGCCTTCAATATGCTCTGATGATGACTTGTCCACAGACCGATCTTTCCACGTTAGATATTCATGATTGAAGTTCAATAGAAACCAAATTCAGTTGCATCCAAATTTTAAAATTTTTAAATTACAGCTGAATACGATTTTTTGTTTTTAATGATGCTTAATGCGAATGTAATGTTAACAATGCAGTAAAGATACTTGTTAGTTTGCGAAAAGCGAAAATAACAACGAGCAGAGAGCTGTTTGCGAGAGCGCAAATATCACAATAGCGTGTGAGCAGAGTAGGTGACTGCAGCTCATGCACGCTTGTTAGATTGAACATATAAGAGTACAAATAAAATACATTTGAAAGTGATCGAAAATTTAATTTGGCTACAAAATAAAATGAGAAATACCACCGACAGAACTACACAAACACAGCTAAGACCCGAGGGAAAATATGTTGAAATATGTATGTTTGGAGAAGAGTTATGACTTCAGAATATTAATTCTCAGAATTGCATGATTCTTAAAATCAAAGGCAAAACATTCCAAACGAGAATTATAGTTTTTCTTGTTTCTATTATAATATAATCGATAAGTCGCCACAAGTTTTTGGAAGATATGTTTTTCTTCGATCTTTAAGAGTATCCGACAGTAACTGTCTAATTTTGGCTTCTACTATTAAATATATAGGATATTTTCGATATGTCTCGCCAACAAAGTGGCCTTAATGAAATAATCAAACTTGAAAGTTAGCTCTTAATCTTTCGAACATGCTGATTAGGCATGAACATACAGCATATTCAAGAATTCTACGCATGCCGTCTACGCACTCAACCACTTGCAGGGAGTGCAAAAAGAATAGATCAACTTACATGCTTCGAATCTAAAATTAGACATACCAACGCTGAGCCTTACACACTCAGCATAGATACAGTTTGGCACGACCCCTATGGGCGTAAATATACATACAAATACAAATGTATATACATACTATTTGTTATTGAGCTGGGTTAACAACTCGAGTACACATACCAACTTTTAACTCTCTAGCAATTTAACTAATTCTAAAATCAATAGAGGCGAATAATGCCAATAATATACAATAATGTATGTAGATATTTTTATCTGACGTGTCATGTAAGAAACTGAATATGCATTCGAAGTATAATGTTGTCAATTAATTAATATTTCACCAAACTTATGCAGTGATAGCACGATCACTGATAACGCTGAGTCTCATATCACAAAAATATTGCAATATCAGCGAATATATTCCAAAGACACCAGGAGCTCAAGGTTAGTCAGCAACAATGTTTTGGGTAAAACAAGTAAGAGTGCTCTTGTTGAAACGGTTTTTTCTAGGATTTCTCTATACATACCATGTGCTTGGACTGCATTTGAGGTATTATTATGGGTTAACTGTTCATCTAAATGAAATGCTTGTAGTTGCCAAAGGACAAGCTATTAGTATTTTAAATAGTGTTTTTGCAAATTTTGAAGACAGGTAATCCAAAAAATTTAAATTAAAAGCTAAATTAATGATAACGATAATAAGAAAACGGGATGAGTTATCGAAAAAAGAAGATAAACTTGTGCTGCGTAAATATTCAATTTCAATTATAGAGATTTTATAAAGAAACTCTATCTAGATGAAAAAATGTTACTAAACTGCTTGAATACATGCATGCGTATTCGTGTATGCATGTGTTTTTTCTAATGCATAAATACAATAAACGGAGAATACTTGGAATATTACCGCTCCGCCCGATTCAATCTATCATTAAGTAACAACATTGTAGATGTTTCATTGAATGAAAAATACAGAGCGGTGGTGTAGATGTATTTATTTCTGGAAGTAAACTAAATACATTAATGGATTTTATTTTTCCGCTCTAGCAAATTATTTCCCTGAAGTGATAAAGAAAAATGTTGTGGTAGACATTTGATACAACCAACATGGATAAAGTCCGCATTTTGCTACAAAAAAAATTATTCCCACCCAAACACGAACACTTGGAGTTGATTCCATCTCCGAGACAATTTGAGAACAACACAGCACGACATGTGCAAGAACAAGGGACAGGCAAATAAAAATTCAAACTAAAGTTGGAAGGTATTTAGAAGAAAAACAACAAGCAATTCACCTTTAACCCAAGCTGAACCCTCACTCAATCAAAGACATCTGAAACAGAAGCAAATGACATAGATGACGACCGCACAGAGCTCGACCAGGTTGAAAGAATTAAAAAATATTGTCTTAGTAAACAAATCGTTTTGTAAAATCAATTCATTGTTTTAATATCGTAAATAATATAAATACGACATTCCACTTATTATCAAGCATCACATCGTTTGACGGAATAATGAAACCGAATGAACATAAAACACTTATATACACTTATATATACAATAGTTTTACTAAAAGGGAGTATGGTCATCTAGGACAATTAAAATAGTTAAAATGGTACTACACTTATGCAAGCTACACACAGAATTTATACAATCTGGAAGTACACAGATTTCTGTTTGATCCTATGTTATGTTTCACAGATATTGTACAAGAAACGCCAAAGGATACGTCAGCTTTACCTTCAAATTATTATGGACGGCTTAAACGATGTAGCAGAGCCACATATAAAGACAACAGCATCAATGTTTTTAATCTTATCCCCGCAATCTATAACTATTTACCCATCACAGTAATAATTAAATGTAAATATTAAGAATGAAAGACTTTAAGTTCATCAAGTCAAAAATGGAAATTAGTGTATATTTATTCTCGATCAGGGCAAACCGAGTCGATTGAGTCCTGTCCGTCTGTCCGTATGTGTAAACGCATCGACCTCAGCATCTATAAGAGCTAGACTAGAACATTTTTTTGTGAGTCCATGTATAGCACGCGCCTTTCAAGTTCATTTCATATATTCGATAACTATTCCCATTTCATTGTAATTCAATTGAATAAAAACATTATCGAAATGCAATTAATAATTTATGTCTCGTACGTCTAAGTAGCTAGAGCCTCCAAATTTTGTATTTAGTTTTATGTATATTTTCTGCAATTTTGGTTTTTGTTGGATTTTGGATACCTGCTCCAAATTTTAAAATTTAAATTTAGTTGGAAATGGGGCCATTATGTGAAATCGATTGCATCTATGCCAATTATGAAGTAGCAGTGTTAGTAGAATTGATGCACGTTGAGTAAACAAACCTCGACTAGAGCTTTCTTACTTCAAGTTTCCAACTTTAAAAGCGGTTTAATGGTTTGAGTTGTGTACTGACCGATAGCTTGACATTGCTGAAAACCACTTTTTATACTCTTTCACTTCGTGAATGAATACAAAACTACTCATTAAATCATTGCTACTTGGACCTAGATTAAAGTTTCATTTCATATTTTACATTTGGGCACTGACACCTTTATTGATTCACCTACATTGCAATCTTTGAATATATTAATTCTCCTTTGTAGCAACAGCGACTTGTGGATCATGTAGAGTTGACGTCCCAGGTTGATCTCCAAATGATGAATTATCATCATCTTCCTGAGGTTTTGATGGCATACTAGTTGTACCTCGCTCTTTAGCCATATTTAGGTAGACTAAATTTTCTTGGTCGGTTAGGATTTTAAAAGGTTGATTTTTTCCAACAATTGCAATAGTAATATTCTATGGTGAAAATATATATAAATATGTTACTAACTTTAAAATTAAAATATACTTTACCAATTGGGATGCACCGTCATCCTTACTTAACTGTTCATCATTTGGTAATGAACTTCGAATGGCATGAATGCCATGACATATAATATCATCATTAGAACATGCATTAAAAGTTTTAAGATGACGTTCCAAATATGTCCTTGCACTTTGTGATCTAGATCCGATTGTCATAGCCTTACAATTGAAAAAATTGGCAGAAGGCTCTACTTTATAAATATGTGGACCCATTTCGTCGTATCCAGCGAGAAGTAAGCCAACCCCATATGGTCGACGATCATAACGCTGAGTAGTCGTTTGCATTTTGTTGCCCAAGTTGGTAATCAATCGAGAAACAGGATAAGCCGATCCATAAGAATGTTTATAACTCAAACACTCAGATCTGAGGTATTTACTTAGTACACGCGCGTCTGCAGTAATTCCCGCAATTGATATGCCCAAATGATCATCAATTGGAATCAATTTGCGCTGAGAAGCTGATAGCTCAGATGGTGGTTTGCACAAAGCCACCAAAACTGCATAATCACGATTTTTTAAACCTACAGTTGCAGTTCCAAGCTTAACAGCCGCTATAGCGTACTCAACCTGATGTAGGCGGCCTTGAGGACTCCATACTGTGACATCACTATCGTATTGATTTCGAAACTGAAATTCGACATTTAAAATCATATATTTATTATTGAGTCCACAAATCTTACCATTTTCTCTCGGGAGTTTCTCAATATAAATGTGGATCTGTTAAACGATGACAATCAAAATGTGCTAGTGGTGGAATATGTTGAAGTAAAAAATATATCGAATAGTGAATGCGAAAACAAATGCTCCCTTAGTCATCCCCATATTACTTATCATTAACTTTAGAATAGTGAATCGGAATTGATCTCAGTAGTACCATCCATAAGACCAATTAAAAAAACTAATATGCCAGAGAGACCAACATATCGCAACATTACCCACTTATAAACAAGATATTTTAAAATTAGCTAAATATAAAAATAAGGGGACAAAAAAAATTCAAAACCAATAAACATAATGCGAATCTTAACTTTTTTAATATTTTTTTTATATATAAAGAAAATCTGACCATATAATTTACAAACATATTTTTTTAAATCAATCAATATATTTTGTTTTTAAATTTTACATATATATTATAATAAAAGCAAAAAATATAATTAAAATTTTTTTACCTATTGATGCGCTCGTGAAACTCGGCGAAACTGCATGTTCCATTTCTTTGTATGTCAATGTTATGTTAATATTCTACATGACAAAAGAAAACACGTCTCCCCAACTTACAATGTAATGCCAATATTATAAGAGCTTAACAAGGTGCTCTATTATGTGGAGTAACAAATCAGTATATTCAGTTTGTCACGCATTCAAAACATAAAATGTTTGACTTTAGATGCAAGAATAATAGTCTTTTATTCAAATTAACGATTTTTTTAATGATAAGCTGTTTATTAATGTAATGTGTATTGCATTGTGTAAAACTATATAAAAAGAAAACAAAGCTAAAAATGAGTAACAAGTAATTTCTTGGACTCCGTTTTTTTTTTTAATTTGCCCTACTTATGTTCAATGGGGCACAGTTCGGTACTCTGGGGTGGTCAAATTTTTTTATTAAAGAATTAATTAATTAAAAATATTGTTAATTTGGACAAAAGGCTTCAATTTTTGCATCTAGGGACAAATATGTTTTTTTTTTTCGGTGTGTAATAAACTGTACATATACTAATTATCTATTTGTCATGTAGGACTATTTGGGCAAAGCATTTTCTGTATGAAACTTGTAATTCTTTGGTTACGTTTAGAATAATTTATCATACAATATTAAACTCAACATTAATAATTCGTAATAACAAAACTGTAAAATTTTGTGGCTTAGGCTTTAAAATGCAGGATATGCCACGCCCGAAATGGGCTTAATTTTTTCGGGCATCGATATATAACATCAACAATATGTCAAAAATCTATTTTTTAAACATCTAGATCTATAGGTTTAGAATAGATGTTTACTGTTTGTCACGTCCTCTATGGATGGTTTTTAAAATATAACAAAATTTTTACACAATATAACATAGTCAGATCCGATTTTAATTTAACTTAGGTCCTATGATTAATTAAAAGGTAGTTCAATTTATTATAAATACCTATATAGAGATCATCTACATTTTCCTCGAAACAAAAGAGTTTTTATTTGCTTTATGTCCCACTTCAATAAGTAATGCTTCAGCAACATTGCCCACTAAATAAAACCCTTTTGTATACTGGATAGCTTGTATACCAGTGGTCTCTGAATAGCAACATAGCGGAGTATTTTAGCTATTAAGCTATGCACTCTGCATCTAGTTAAGGACACAAGTATAATAAGTATAAAATGTATATACATTATTTATATGAATCTATAAAGCTTTTTCACTTCATACTACTTGAAAAATTTGTTTGCTATTGCTTACAAATTATGGTTATATTATAAATTACCCCCTTAGTTACCGACTTTTCTATTATAGTGATGGAATGATACGGATGGAAGGATATACTCAGCTTATCAACTTGATTACGAAGATATATATACTATGAAGTATATGCCCAAAGCCATAGACATACTGTCACATCTCAATCAACATTACGAAGACACATGCATGACGCTTTCCTTAAACGGAGAACTCTTACCCCATCCTCTTACTGGATGTCATAGATACAATTAAGACATACCGAAGAAAATATTTTGGTTACTCAAGCCCACCAACAAACTCTCACGTGAAACAACAACATTATTATATAAATAAGTAAGAAAGATATAGTAGGGGTGCCCTACGAGGAGATACCCTGATCACAGTCCTATCCACGTTTTTTTTATTTTCAATTGGCTGAATACGAAGATTCGAACCAATATTGGCTGCGCAACGCGCATTAACTCAAAAAAAAAAATTAACTTCAAAATTTGAATAATTTGGAAAAAAAAATTAAAATAATAATAAACAAGCAATCAGCAACACATGACTACAAACTGCACTTTTACCCTGACAAACTTGACAGAAGTCCTCGCCAGAGAAGACTACGCGAAATACCCAAGAATATTTAACCATCACATTTACCAAATTGATTCATTAATTTAATTTGAAGCCTACGTTGAAGTAATATACGAATCGTTCTACGCTTGTTTAAATTGACAGTTCCGGAGCCCCTACAGTGAATTGTATGGTTCCATCTTTTAGTATATTTCATCTACGCTTTTAAAACGATGTAAAAGTATCCATTATCGATAAATATCACTGAAAGGTGATGAGTTATCGTATAAAATGATAAATTCGTACTATTATGGTGTACAAGGCGATACATTGAAATATTCAAATTTCTACCTAATGTGGCTTGTAAGATCTCTGCATTCGCACGAATGGACGAAGAGACAGATAGACGGACTGAAGTAAATCAAAAAGAATATATATAAATACTTCTTCCTTCTGCCTATATTTTTTACAAATACATTATGCTCAAAATTCCCATTTTCAATGGGCACTACATATGCATACAATAGTTTAACTTTTAAATAAGTAACAGTAATTTGAAAAATGCAAAATACAAAATATAAAATACTAAAATGAAAATTAATATACGATGTAAAAAATGATAAAAATATAATAATATTTTAAAATGAGCCTTGCTTAAAATATTGAGTCTAAATTATAAAGGAAGCTAAACGCTGAATGATGTGTTGATAAATAAACTGGTATTTCTCTAAAATTAAAATAAACTGTTTTTGGATATGTGAGTGGTTGATAAAATATATATATATAAATATATTTATTTATATACATATACATATATCTATATACATATATTTATATATATATATATATATATATATATGTGCATATAAAATTAAATTTTTGGTAATTGCTAACAACCGTCCCAAAAATAGGGGTAAAATATTTTTCCGAGCATGCTCAGTAGCGATAACTATAGGGGTTGGTCGTATGTAATACGCGCATATAAATCGATTTAGGAAATATTTCAGAAGTTTTCTAGTTAAAAGTTTTTCTATAGACATGTAAAAATCTAATATGTTCTATATATCGAGTAACAGTAAAAAAAAAAAAAATAAAAATTAAAGTTGTAAAAAAATAATAATTAATTTCGCATAGCTTTTGAAATTAAAAGCCATTTAAGTTTGTATCATTTTTCACACAGAGGATAATCAATAGATTGAGTCTATTTTAACTGAAAATTCTGGTAAGACTTACTTTTTTAAAAGTTTTCAAAGAATTAATATAAAACATTGCTTGAATTTTTTATATACAGATTTAAGAAATATCAGTTATTAAATTGTATACAATTTCTCCAATTTTTTGACGGTAATTTGCTAACCGTTTTTATAAATAAGTACTTATATTTTAGCTATAATGGGCACCGTTTTAAGCTTCAATCCACGCGATAGACATCCAGTATATTCATCCCAGCCCAATTTTCCGTATAACCAATCCACGGATATTCAAAATCAGAAAACAATAGATAATTCTGCATCAATCGACTCTCAGTTAAATAATTTTTCGTACGAACAGTTAAATAACGCTAAAAATCGAGAAAATAGAAAAGCTCTTTCACATCAGTTATCAAGGAATGGCTCTGGACATCAAAATACTTGCGGAAGCTTACAATTTAATATGCACACACAGATAAATTCGCACAACTTTAACAACCTGACATATTCATCGAAAGATACAATTAACAATGACTTGGATGCTCATAACGAAAATTCAACTATTATATCAGAAAAGAGTTCAATTGAAAAAAGCTTAAAGAAACATTCACTCTTTATAAATGCCCTATCTTGGAAAAAATTATCTACATCTCATAATAAAAAAAAAGTTGAAAATAAAAATAAATGTGCAAATTTACCCTCTACATGCTTTAAGGCTCAGCTTTTAGAAGCATCGTATTCGTCTTCATCGGATAAAAATAAAAATATACAGCTCCACTGTAATCACATTGAAGAGCATCAGCATCAACATCATTGTAATCAAAGTCAGATCATTCAGGAGCTTCCATTTTTCACATCAACTAAAACGCAAAAGCTATCAACAGCGAAAGAACTGGGCAGAGTTAATAATACAAATTCTATAACAAATCACAATAAATTAATTCAAAAGCAACCTTTAGCTCTAACTCGGCCTCAGCAGTTGCAGATATCATCAATTCAAATTAAAAACACCAATCAGAATTTTATTCCACGTAAAACTGTTATTCAGGTAATTGATCAAAATAGTTTTATACAAATAATTTAAACATTGAGGTTCAATTTTAGGCATCGACTTCTGAACTTTTGAAATGTCTGGGTCTTTTTCTACATTTCCGGTGCCATAGATTAAACAATTTTGATCCTGGGGACGCTGTTATGTGGCTGAGAGCAGTCGATCGAAGTTTGTTACTGCAAGGCTGGCAGGTAAAAAATTTTATATTCACTTTTCACTTTAATTTGGAAATACTAATATTTATTAACCCTAAAAATATGCGTAGGCATGGTAAAACAATCTATAGCTCTGTGTATTTCATTATTGTGAAAGTTTATCCTATTTTCAGAAGCGCGTAAATAAGTAATACACAAACATTTAACAATTCCTTTGAACTGAAGAGTGTCACCTCTTATTTAAATTCGTATTTGATTGGAACATCATAATTACTCAATGATGTCCTTTTAACATAAAGAGACGCGACTGATGTGGCCGTCAATATCATGTTCACGCTTGAACATTTTAATAAACTTCATTGCAAGAATCTATTTCCGTTTGAGAGCGCTTTCTTCTCAAGTGTATTTCACGTTTTGCATAGGGAAATATCGTTGGAATGCCATCTTTGAACCAAGTTTTTCAACCTTCAGAGAATTTTATATTGTGTTGCCGAAGCTTTTCCAAGTAGTGTATATGTTCGATTTTCTTTAAAAAAGTGCTGATTTTACTGTCATTGGCAATGAAACAATGAATTGATTTTTCTGAGTATCATCAATCTAGTTTTTAATTTTAATCGTAATTATAAAAAGTGTAAATTTTATGGATTCGTGTAACAAAGATATTGCGCCTTTACTGTTTTTGTAACTTCAATAAAAGTCATCCATTCAAAATAGGAAATCCGGCTATAATAGTTTTGTTAACATGTATGAATGGTAAAAGAAGGCGTGGCAGATCCCATACGAATACAATGCGACTTCTTACCTACTTTGATCTGTTTCGGTCTGAAAATACGTAATCACAATTCCTTATGGCTCCCGTTTTACTCCTAATGGAATGGTCGACTTAAATAATTAATTTGATTAGCAAATGAGATCGACACATTTTTAAAGTTAGTATGATTTTTCTACTTTTGAAAGGGTTACCCTTGCATTTAGTGAGTTGAGTTGTGGTCGTAATAACGTTCGCATATATAGCCGCTCTATTGGCTCCATTGTTTCCAAATCTACCATTCATCATCGTGCAATTTCTAATATATTAAAGGAAGAGACTCGGTCGGCGATATAGCCATTGATGTCTCATCTAGTTGCTCGTCTTAGCCCAACTAATTAAAGATTTTAGCTATTAGATCCAATTTTTTTATTGTCCATTGTTTTTATACCCTGCTCCTATTGAAAATTGATACTATGGATCAGCATGACAAGTCGAGTGGTTGAGCCATTTCTGTCTGTCCGCTTGTCCGTATGTGTAAACGCATCTATAAAAGCTCAGCATCTATAAGAGCTCAGCATCTATAAGAACTAGACTTTTAATATTTTTTAGGTTAATGTATAGCACATGCATATAAAGTTTGTATTAAATAATCGATAACTATTCCCGTTTTACTGTGCCTCCAGAGTTCCATATATATATTTTTAAGTTTTAATTTTCATACTACATTTTTTTTTAAATTATAGATCCCGGCTCTAAGTTTCCCCAAATTCTTTAAATTTAAATTCAGCTGAAAATAATGACAATATTTAAAGAGCCTTGCATTTTTACTAAGCTGGATTGGAGTAATAATCGAATAGATATATGCTGAAAAGTTTTAGGTTTAATGCTAGGCAGCGAAGTGACGTTTTTTAATATATTTAGTTTTAATTTAATTATTTATTTTTAATTTAATGAAGTGGAGGTGTTGGTTTTTATTCGCTTTTTTTTTAATAATCGATGTTTTGTTGGTGAGGAAACTGTGTTTAATTTTGCAAAGGTAATGGCTGGGGATTTTTTAATTTTGGAGAGTAAGCCGTAGTGCCAGCCTCCGTTGTGTCACTTATTCAAATGCGATTGGGGAAAGTGGGAAGGTCAATTGATAGGAGAGCATCTAGTATTTTTTATAGTTATATTAAAACTATGAATTATTTTATTAATTATTATTATTATTAACACAAGATATTAGAAATTTCGAATATAATATATGTCTTTGATTAAATTTTCAGCATATAATTTTCATATTTGATTGGAAAATGCAAACGCCAAATGAAGTTAAGTTTTAAAAATTTTGGAAAATTTAGAGTTGGTACAACAATAATACAACAAAAATAAAAATTGTAGAAAATATACATACAACTAAATACAAAATTTAGAGGCTCTGCCTTTAAGCCGATATAATTTAATGACTGCATTTCGATTATGTTTTTAGTTGATAATTAATAAAACGGGAATAGTTATCGAAAATTTGAGTATGTAACGCTTATTCATACTGATCGACGAACTCACACATACGAACAGTCATGCAAACGAACAGTCAGGCAGACGGACGGGGCTCAATCGACTCGGCTTGTCGTCCTGATCAAGAATATAAACTTTGGTTTCCCATTTTCAATGGAATCAGGTTATAAAAAGTTTTAATAAAGTGGATATACAAGTAAGCCCGAACGTGACTGTCAAATAAAAAAAGGGGAATATTTCATGAAACCTAAACAAAAATATAAAATATAAAAAAATTGTTCAAGCATAAACATATTATTGACTATATAATGTTTCTATTAAAGCAAAATTGTAATTGTAAATAAATCCAACGGCAGGTGACTATAGTTTTGCAATGATAGTAAAATTTTTGAGTTTTACCTCTAATTCAGATTCTCAAGTTTTAGTTTTAAGTTTAAATAAAATAAAATTTGATCAATGATATATGCGAATTGCGTTTTAAGAAATAGGCAACATTTTTAAATCTGTATCAAAAAGAACAAACCCACAAAAGAAAGTTTATTAATTTAATCGGCAGAGGAATGCACAGTGATTTTTTTACCTAATTGTACAATTGTAAATAGGGGAACAAATTCTGCATGACCCGTTCACAAAACTCAGAGTATGGTCAGCGAAATCCTAGTTGAACCCCCAAAAAGTTTTTTGGTCGATCTGTAGAAAATCTTAACAGTAGAATTTTTTATCCGATTTGCCACGCTCTCAATATTCGTAGATATATATGGTATCCGCGCGTATATATATTCCAGATGTAAAGTATCTAGCTTGATGGCAGGGTGGATAGATTCATGTTAGTACGGACGGAATGCCAGACGGACAATGCACAAGACCTATTATATTATTTTATTGCGTGGCGAAAATGAAAGCAAATATATAAAAAAAACTAAAATTGTATAAATACTATATAACTCTAACAAAATTTGTAGGCTCCAGCTCTTAAGCTATACGAGATATAATTTAATAATTGCAATTTGATCATGTATTTAATCAATAACAAAGCAAACTTGATATGTGCGGATGTCCAAAAATTGGCATTCGACTAAAACGGTAATAGTTATCGATTATTTCAAACAAATTTACAGATTCTGAGATCAACGCGTTCATACATACGTGCAAACTCACACGCAGATGGAAAAAACAAATAAATAGATGGGCTGGACTATCTCAATGGAGCACTTCGTCGTGAACAAGAATATATGCTTTATGGGGTCTGCCACGTCATTGTTACATAGATTTTAACAAATAAATGCCATTGCGAAAATTCTTTTAGAAAAAAACTTGTTCAGCAATTAAATAATAAAGCTTGGAACAGTATTAAAGTTAAAAAAAAAACAATATTTAACAATTAAATTACTGCTGACCTCTATTGATCTACCAAAATTTATATATTTGATACATATATATTTTATATAAGCTTTTTTTCTGTTATATTTTACATACCGAATACAGATTCTATTCCGTTGCAAATATAAACCAAAATTTGAAAGATTTTTATTTTTACTAAATTGACAAGTACTTAAATAGAATATGTAGATCGGATGCTGAAATTTGCATTGAAATTCATTAAGTATCACAGAAGCGTACGCATTTTTCCTATACATGTGTTCATATTGTCAACCGATACTATTAAACGCGAAACTCATGTGACGAAGGCGGTTCTGTCTTCAACGCCAGGCGATGTTATTCGGTTTTCTTCAAACTTGAAGATAAACATAGTAAAGGTGATGCTATTGGTTCGAGTTCGAGTTCGCGTTCGAGTTTTATGCTATCTTTAAATAATCTGTTTTCAGTTTTAACAGTATTGTTAAACTTTACCCTTAACACCTTTTAATGAATTCGTATGCTAATGTATAATATAAGAGTATAATCATATATATGAAATTATTCAATAGTAATATGTTCTCTAGTATCACTATCACATATATATATATATTATAAAAAACTTAGCAAAATTTATTTATTTTTTTATTTAAGGACGTAGCATTCATCAATCCAGCAAATGTTGTATTTGTATACATGTTAGTACGCGAACTTGTTAACGGAGAAGAAACAAAGGAATCAGATCTTCAAGCATCTGTGCTTACCTGTTTGTATTTATCTTATTCATACATGGGTAATGAAATTAGCTATCCACTTAAACCATTTCTTGTTGAGGATTCGAAAGAACATTTTTGGGACAGGTAAGTACGTTAAAAAACATTTCCGTCTTTCTTACCGAACATATGTTAACAAGAAAGTATGTTGCATACTACTCATTCACGGTCTAAATTGCTAACTCCAACACAGTTTGGTAAATTTAAACAAAAAATTTTAGAAGTTCTCTCAGTGAAACTGTAGACATGCAGTTTTCCCCAATAAATCACGTCACCTTTAGGCGTGGGCATATAACCATGAAACACTTAATATGGTAATGTCAGAAAGTAAAAGCACTACAGACTTTAAGTTTGGAACATGTATTCCAACATAAAAAATAAATAGTGCAAGAGTCTGTGCCTATTGGGAGCTTGGGAAATCGTTTAAAACTATTTTATTGTTAGGATCCACAACAGATTGAATATAGATATACATATATATATATATATATATATTTTGAGCACAATTGCCAGCACCAAAAAAGATATACATGATATACGATGCAAACTCTTTCACATATTGACTATATTTTAAACGGAACTATCTATTAAAAAATTTGTGGAAAATTCTAGAAAATATACTACAATAAATATATATATACATAATACTACAATAAAAAAGCTCTACCAACGCAGCCACTGCACCTCTTGCAAGAAGAGTTGCACATTTCAAGTTAAGTAGCAGCCAATTATTCAGCACAATTCAATCGCAATTTCGATTCTTGGAATAGAAAAGAATACACGCATTTGAATGTATGTGTGCACACGCATAGGAAAAATGCGTGCGCGTGGCGCTGCTGACATGTGCTTTTGCAAATTGGCCAAAAGTTTTCTTTAATAACTTCTGTTTTACTTAATGGATTTTAAGGAAATTTTCAGCATATGATCTACATATCCTATTGGCTTGGTTGAGATGGAAACGCCTTCACATAATGGCCCTAGTTCCAACTAAACTTAAATTTGAAGAATTTGGGGGAATATGGAGCCGGTATCCCAAATCCAACAAAAATCAAAATTGCATAAAATATACATAAAACTAAATACAAAATTTGGCTCTAGCTCTTAAGACGTTCCAGATATAATTTATTTACTGCATTGCAATAATGTTTTTATTCGATAACAATTAAATACGAATAGTTATCGAATATTTGAAACAAACTTGACCTGCGCGTGCTATACACGGACCTACAAAAAAATTTCAAGTCTCTAGGCCTTATAGATGCTGAGATCCACGCGTTCACACATACGGACAGACGGACGGACAGACAGACGGACAGGGCTCAATTGACTTGGCTTGTCGTCCTGATCAAGAATATATATATTTTATGGGGTCTGCCACGCCTCCTTTTGCCTGTTACATACATTTGCACAAAACCATTATACCCTGATTTCCCATTTTCAATGGGATCAGGATATAAAAACGCAAAAGACGTTCATGTTTTAATTCGATACCAATAAAGCGTGAATAGTAATCGAATATTTGAAACAAATTTGGCATAAGCGTGATATGAACCAACATAGATAAATCAAGCTATTATAGGTTCTGAGAACGACGTTTATATGTGCGCACTCGAACAGGCAGACAGAAATGGCTAAAACTATTCAGCTTGTCCTGATCAAGAACATTTACACGTTATGTCCTGCGTGTTACTTACCATTTTTACAAAAGAATTGTACATTCATTTCCCCATTTCGATGGTTTTAAGCTATTGACACTAAAATTATGAAATTGCTATTTGTAAGTGATCCCTATATATACATTAGATTAGACAGTACAGTTTAGGCCCTAATATTATTTTATACTCTAAATCAATAACTTTAAAATCTGTTTGTATTATTTCAGATGTTTATTCATTGTAAACAGACTAAGTAATAAAATGTTGAAAATAAATGCAGAACCAGCATTCTTCACGGAAGTTTTCACTGAGCTGAAATCGTGCGGACAATTTCAACCCAATTCAATAAAAATTTCACCCTGCGGAGGAACCTGACGGAAACATGAGCAATACGTTGTAGTCCGACTTTCATTGTCTACTTGCCAGCAAACTTATCAAGATAAAATAGAAGGCATAGGCTGCGGTAAATAAATAAAACATTGATAGTACATTACAAAATTCTTTTGTCACCATCACACTTGTTCAAATAAAAATGTAATATCGCTTTCAAATACCTATGTTTAATCTTATCAAAATTTATATTCCTTCTAATTGATTTGAAAGGAGATGCCTAGGAATGGATTGCAGCTCCGTGAAAGACCATAACTTACAGTTAGTTATATTATACATATAATATAAACCTTGACGAAAAGATAATAAGCGGCTTATCTAACTAGCAATATCTTAACTTTGGACATTTCGGAAATAGTCATTACCGTTTACAATTTTAACACTGCTTTAGTTCATTTACGGTTATGCGCTTTTCTCAATCCCTCCACAACTTTAAGTAAATCAAAGTAATATATGTTGTATTTTTTTCCCTGATTCCATTAAAAACTGGAAATCAGAGTATAATGGTTGTGTTTAAATGTATGCAACAGGCAGAAGGAGCCGTAGGAGTATATATATTCTTGATCCGTCTGTCTATATACCTGTATGTGTGAACGCATCGATCTCAGCATCTATAAGAAATTAGTTGTATGCCCGTGTATAGCAGGTGCATACTAAATTTGTTTCAAATAATCAATAACTGTTCTCGTTTTATTGTTACTAATTAAAAACATGATCGAAATGCAAATGCTCCAAATTTACCAAACTGCTTTAAATTTAAGTTCAGTTAGAAATACGGCCAATAATTAGAGAAGCTTACATTTAAACTAATTCAATTGAATATGAAGGTATTAAACGAAACGTTTGGGCAATTTGCAGAAGCATATGTCAAGCAGCGCCAAGCGTACGCATTTTTGTCCTTTTCATTCAGATTCGTGTATTCTTTTGTATTCTAAGAATGGAAATTGCGTCAAATTGAATTTTTTTTTGTAAATTTGAAGTGGCGTTTTTTTTTTTTTTTTTTTTTATTGCTTGAATCAGGGTTCTGGAATCAGGGTATCTGCTACTCGAGCACCTCAACTAGAGATTTCTTACTTGTCTTTTTATACCTTGATGCGTGCGTCCACATGAATTGGCGGTGTTTGGCACGTGCTTGTGTGATTTCGCCAAAGGTTTTGCTTAATATGTTACTCAACAATAAAATTTTCAGTATGTAATATACATGTATATAATATACATGTATGTAATATACATGTCCATGAAACTGAGGAATAAATGTCAATGACGAATGAATTATTATTTTTTTGAAGTAATATTCCTTCTGTATGTTTGGAATACCTTTAGAAAATATAATTTGTCTTTTAGATGAATTAATTGGTTTTTCTGTAACGAATATTAAGTTATTAAGTTAATATTATTCCATCTTTAGTTATGGTCTGAGCTAAAAATGTAATTTTTGCCTTAGAAATTAGCATTTGTCTAGTTGGTGTTTGAGATTCGCTTCTGAAAGCAACGTTCATGCAACGTTGGAAGGATGCATGTGCGTTTTTTGGACCAAATGGCATTCGAAGGTATTCGTAGTGGCCAGATTTAGCAGAGAAAGCTGTTTTTTGAATTGAAACTGGGTGCATTTCAAGTTGGTAGAACCCTTTTGCTAGGTTCCTAAAATTTCGTCCATGTTTGTATGGTTTTGAATATATAGGAGAATTGTGGGTCATTATGTTTGTTTATTGATGTGTTTTTCATTATTACTGAAACTGAGTTGATTGCCTTCTCGGAATTGGATATGCTGATATTGGTTTAGTTACCTATTCAATTTGCTTTTTTCTTCTTAATTTAACTGTTCCAGACGGTAAAGACCTGAAATTGTTTTTCAGAATATTTTGTTACTGGATTATTTAAATGATTCTTTTTTCGGAATTAGGTTAGGTTAAATAATAGTTTTGATTTCAGAGAGTTACAATTTGGGATTTATAGCCTTCTTCTGCCTATCAAAATATCGTAATCTAACGAAAATGGATGTAGAAGAAATTCATTATCACCCTTGAACAAATTATTAAAGGGGACACACATTTTTTTTTGTAACGGATAGAGATCCGTTGCTAGTTTGGATGAAACAATCACTGTTGAGAACTGGTAGATTAAAGATATTGGCTGTCATCACATTGACACTAGATTCTGTGTCTATTAGGTATTTTATGCTTTTGCCTTTATGTGTTATTTGTATATATTGCAGTTTTCCGAGGCTGATAACTGAATTTTCGGCATGCTCAATTTCTAGTTTATTTGCCTCTTAAGTTTCATACTTGGCTACTGGGACTTGTGGGTGCGCATAGTCTGGGCTTTGGGGAAAAATTTGATCGTGGTGATATTGGGAAAAATGTTGGGGATATGAGGCTGTTTGATCATAGTAATGCTTTAACTATTTATGATAATTAAATTCTTCTTGGTGTCTAGCTTCATCTATACTCATCTTACTCTGTCCGGTCTCTGCTCTAAATCGTTTTGTTTGCTAAACCAGGATTGGTATTAAAGGATGGCTGTTGTGGAGTCCCATTTTGATTTTTTCCGAACCGAGTACTGTGAAATTGGTTTTGTCGAAAGTTTGTCCTTGGTGTCAATTGTACTGATTTAATTGGATTGGGTATGGGTTGTATTTGTTGAGGTGAATAGGTGTTACGTTGAGAATTATGATTAGTATCATTAATGAAGGATATGGTTGTTGATAATTGAAATGATAATTTTGGGGCATGATATGGTTGTTGGTGATTAAAATTATGATTTTAGTATGGGGCATAAGTTTTGTTTGGTCGAAGGAGTGTTGGAAAATTTTGAATATTAGAATTGGCCAGTATATCAAGGCTTGAATGACTTTACTTGTTTTACTCTATTAGGAATTGAATTATGAATAGGATCATCGTACAATTTTTTTTCTTGTCACAAATTTATTAATGAACGTTAGTATGGTATTTCATAATTTATTACTCTGATACAAATATTAGTGGGTAATTTCTGAACAATGCTGCTTTTAACGAATCGAGTATTCAGTGTTTTTTTATCAATATAATTTCTATATATATTATTTCTAGTTCTAGCTTACTCATTAAGGTCTACCTACGGTGTTCTGCTCCAGAAAATCTCGCACATTTCCTTCGAATGGTGTGTTCTTGAATTCCTCCAGTAAGACGTGGTTCTTGGTTTGCGTTTTGTAGTTTATAATCAATTGTTTTTGAAGATCCGTCCAGGTTGTTAGGTTGTTGACAGCATAACTTCACTGCTGATGCAGCTTTCCACGAGTCCGATGAGTATTGACTTTTGTCTTTCATCATTGGTGGTGTATAAGGAGAGTATGTGCTCAATGCATTTAACGAACTTCTCAACGTTTTTAATTGATTAATCACTTGTGTCATTTTGACATCGGAAAGGGCGGTGTTTCCTTCCATATTTTTTTTCTTAAGTTTGTATACTGTAATTTTGTTTAATGTTGTTTGTTTTTATTTTGTTTAATAATTTCTATTACTTATACATATATATATACATATCCAAATGTTTCTGGAATTATATTCTCTTTGAATTCTACAGTATCTTCTTGAATTATTTATGTGGTTTTTAACAATTCGCAACTTTGGCAATACGCGATTTGTTGGTATACACGTAACCGTCGAGGATTTGTTTAAAACTTGACGCGATATTGACTTGCCTTTGCGTTGGTTGTTTGGCGTTTACGAGTCGAACTAATGATTGCAAAGACGAAGTCAAGGTTTTGCTGTATGACAACTTACTTTATTGAATAGCAGCCTAAGACTAAAGATTATTTCATTGGAGGCCCATATTTCATATGCTATTGAAATTACGCAGCAGAGACAATCAGACGCGTCCTTCTCAGAACCCTTGCTTGTTACATTGTTGTTATGCAGCGGCGATATGCAACATTTTGTCAAGCCGGCACCATGATTTGGGTATTTTGAATCTGATTAATTTTAGATGTTCGTAAAACTCAGAAAATCCAGAATGAACTAGTTTCGACTATTTGTAGTTTCGCTATTTGCCGACAATTACCGGTGTTGGTTGACTTGATGTGCGTTGCGTAGGTAATGTTGGTTGGATTTTGGTGTCGCAATGTCGGTTTTTGTTTGTTTAACACTCTATACAAACTTTGGAGAATATTTAAAGACGCAGAATAGGACTGGGATCAAGGTAGCTCCTAGTCTGGCACCCCTAATAGAGTTTCTTTTTATTTAACTTAAGATACAAATTAAAATAAAAGATCTTGGATTTTTATTTCACATGTGACTGGCTTCAATACAGTTTTCTTAGGGTTTGCATTGCAGACTGCTGATTCGGCAGTTTCTGGCTATTGTAGCGGTTCTTGGCCGCAGCGAGAATCGTGATACAATTTTGTTGTTAACTTACATACTAGTAGCGTAGTCAGTCAGTTTGCTGAATACTACGTTGTTTTTGGGGAACACCCGTTATCTTGATTCTTTGAAATACAGACGACATTTGCACACTCACGTTGCCACACACAACGAAGAGTTTGTCTAATCTAAAAGAGAAATGTGCTCCTGTGCTGATAATAAGGAAATTTAAAATTGAAGATTTGCAATGATGTTAATAATTGCTATGTAGTATTGCTAACATACAAGATCTAGGTAACAAATTTTCGGCAATATCTTTACAGTTTAGCATAAAAATCTGTCATGCTTTTTTAATACACTTTGGTTTTGTTCAGTTTTGTATTGATTTTTATTCTTTTGAGTTACGGTTAAATCTTAATTATATATTGCTGAGTTTGTAAGGTTCACCGTTAATCTGTCTAGTTTTGAATTCTAAACATGTGGTGTTGTCTAGGCGTTATCGCTAACTAGCCGGCGTGGAGCAGGAAAATTTTATAGCTAGCTCTTAATGTGTATCTTTATCTGTCTGACATTCCGACTTTCGATTGGGTCGTCCAAGCACATCGTGGTTGATACACTGTTTATCTGGTTGCTTGATAATAGGACAATCTTGCCGGGGACAATCCATCCAAGTTCGGTCTTTTACCTAATCGTATATTAACGTTCATAACTCAATTTTATTTAGCCTTATCACAAAAAATATATATTTTAGGTTAAATACAAGCTTCTTAAGGGGCAATAAAAAATCCATTTTAATTTTTTCCGTGTTTATACTTTCCATCATTCAAGGTAAAAATCTACAATATTTTAGACATCAAGTTTATTATTAATGGTTTTTATGTAAACTGTTTAGTATAACCCCAAATTAAGAACATCGATATGTGAGCACAACTTATGATACAAATTATCAATGGCCAAATGTCTGGAAACCTAGACGGTGGTTCTATTGATATAAACGCTAAGAAAATAGCAATCATTAAAATTTCTGAAATTTGTGTGATTGATATTTTAAGTTTTCGATGGCATATCTCATTTTCATTACTTTTAAAATATCTACTTTTAAAAGTTAAATTAAAAATAATCATTAAACCCACAGTTGGAACCAACAAATTATCTCTTTTGAAAAGCGGTATCATACTAAAGACCGATAATTTAAGAAACCACAGCATTTCTTTTGGCCACCAGTAAAATAAGCAAATCGACGGCAAGGTGAGTAGTAAAATTGTCTTTTCATGAACCTGAAAAAAAAAGATTTAATGCCTTCTTTCGAAAACGATACATAACATATACATATTTTTTATACATACTTGAAATGAAAACAAGAAAAATGAAGCAGCCGTATTAAATAAACTTAATATAAATATGTATTTGCTTCGGCGGAAAAATAGATGTACATTAATGGGCAGAGCTGTTAATAAAGTAGTTCCAAAACAAATTAAGGCCATTTTGTGATCAGAAAAATGTTTTCTAAAAAAAAATTTATAAAATGTAACATTTTCAGATCTCCAGTTATAGTGCAAATATAAGACTTTACTTTAATTTATAAACGACATTAATACTGCACCAAAAATTAGCAACTTTGTCTTCAAATACACCACGTTTAACTGGAAAAAGGCGAAGCAATACATCTGAAGTTGCGTCAATTGAACTTGACCAAGGATACCATAAAATCGCGAAAGTTGATAGCACAATGGTAGCTATTATTGAAAGCTCTTTAACGGCCGACTTTGCACTGAAAAGATGATAAAATTAAATACAAGTAAAACGTAATAATTTATTAAATAAACATGTCCGATTTTAAAAGTCAAAATTAATCTCATAAAAACTTAAGATGGAGAATGCTATGAAGATGTTCTTCGAAATATACCGCATCTTGGCTACCACCAAGGACGCAACTACGGTTCTAAAAATGAAGCCTGCAGCGACAGTACAGATCCACGGTCACGAATCACTCACTGCTGAGTCGAGTCGAGTTCGCAAAGGCAAAAGTATAAAAGTTACTGCGCAGATGCTATTGATGCTTTGGTGTAAGCCAACAACAGACTAATGGTTACGGATGACAGGTCACAAAATGAAAGACTAAAAGCCTTAAAGTTATGAAGATCCACCAGGGTAGTGAAGCTCCACCGCAACGCCTAATGAGGGCTAACTCCTGGTCTATGGATTATTAAACAAGACAGCTATAGTCAGGGTGCCCGACAAAGAGATACCGTAATCTCAGTCCTATCTGTTTTTTTAAATTTTCAAACAAGCAAATAATAGTTAGATTCAAACCAACATTGTCTACTTGAGGAGTCTGCCACGAAGTCTTCTGCCTATTACATACAATTGCACAACTGAAAATTAGACAACTAATTTCTTCTAGTCATATTCCCAAATAATGAGAAAATGTTAATATGGACAAAAAAAATATAAGGGGTCTCAAAACTTGCATCATCAAGGTAATCTACCCCTCTGTAGCTTGCAGCTTGGTAAATTTTAATATATAATTTAGCTAATTTATTAAAAAACAAGTAAGAAAGGTCTAGTCGGGGTGCCAGACTAGGAGATACTCTGATCCCAGTCCTATCTGCTTTTTTAATATTTTCCGTAGTTTGTATCGAGCAATCAAAAAAAATAATAATAAAAATAAATAAAAACCGACATTACGACACCAAGATTCGAACTCTAATTGTTTACGCAACGCGTAACATAAGTAGCAACTAATTGATCGCAATTTATATTCTATATTATAAAATATACATAAAACTAAATACAAAGTTTGGAGGCTCTAGCTGTTAAGACATCCGAGATATAATTTATTACCTGAATTTCAAACATGTTTTATTCGATAATAATTAACTTGACCTGCGCGTGCTATACATGGACCTAAAAAAATTCAAGATGCTGAGATCGACGCGTTCACACATACGGACAAAGCTCAATCGACTCGGCTTATCGTCCTGGTCAAGAATATATATACTTTATGGTGTATGCCTCGCCTCCTTCTACCTGTTACATACATTTGCACAAAACCATTATAATCTGATTTCCCATTTTCAATGGGATCAGGGTATAAAAATATACAGCACAAACTTTAATAAAACCATTCATGGCTTTCTTTATGTACTGGTGATAATATACTAGATATATAGAATATGATAATATAAGTTATTGTGTTGTAGCTAAAAAATTAAGATAAAAAGCTCTTTAAAAATTTACAAAAATAAATAGGTAATTTAAATAAATAATAATTCAAAATTCTTAATACAATTTTACCAATACCAATTTTACCTACCTTTTTTGTGATAAAGATGTACTCAAAAGGTAAGCAAAGAACGGTAAGGCATGGTATAATTCCATTTGTTTATAATTTAAAGCCAACGTAAAGGCGAAAGCGGCGACATAAATCATATCACACAGTAATCCAGCGACAGCTAGAACTGCTAGTCCAAGGGAAATGTTGTTGTACTGAAAGTGTCCATTGTCAATGAGAGCTTGACCTGGGTAAATTGCAAAAAGTAATTGCAATTGTAGCTTCAAGTTTTTCTTATAGATGCGATCCATGCTAACAGACAAAGCCAATATCGCAGGAATGAAAACTAAGGCGTCCGCTACTAAAACTGTAAAGCGCATGTAACTCTTGTGATCCTTCGATTCAAACCCTCTACTCTTGTTTAACTCAACATATCTGGGGTTAAGTCTTTCAGCTGCACGACCAAGTAAATAACTGTGATATGCTGTAAGTGGTGGATAATCTAAACCCCAATACTGCAAGTCATTATGTGTACTATTAGTATACCATTGCTTTACTTCTAAATTAACTGTTATTTCTTGCCAATGTCGCTGAGCTTCATAATCACCAAACATAGGCGGTTTGTTAAATCCAGAATAAGAATTCATTGAAATAATAGACCTTAATGATATCGCAACAAAAAGAGTGGCTATCAATTCCGAAGACATATTTGCTAAAAACAAAAATGTTATTTATTTTCAATACATACATAAGAATATGTTTGTATAGGTATATTTTAAACTTACACATATCATATGCAGAAACAAAAACTTTTGAACGTAAGTACTATGAATTATAATTATGAGTACTCCATACTTTAATTGTATTTAAAACTCGAAAAATGAAAGTAGAAACATTCTCCTAAAACTATCTTCTGGCTATCGTTTGATTCAGTTATCGTATTCATATGGAACCAGTGTTGCCATATCAACTAGCCAATAAGCTAGAAAAAGCTAAACAACAATTTCCATATTAAAAAATTTTTGAAATAAATTATTAATCAAGTTATGTTATAAAACTGTCCAAATTAATATACGTTGATTTCCTTCTGTAATATAGAAGTGTTTTGTATGCATTTTAGGACAACTTCCAGATACTCTATAATTACGGCAACATATATTTTTCATGCTTAATATACAATACAATTACCGTACGCACAAGGTGGAATTTAAACGGCGGACTAAACGATTATCATTTGACTTCCGTTTGGTTTGACAATTGAACGATATAATACGCAGACCAAATAACGCTAATTGCATCAATTTCAATTTCTAGACGATTCTACATAGTTACTAACTTCGGCCCGAAAACACATTGCATCTATCAATTGATACTTTTTTAATTGTTGATATTGACATTTCAGTGTTCACTGTATGGTTGCTTGATATTGTAAATTATTTTTGACATTTTACTTAAGAAATTGTATGCAAACATTAAATATTTCGTGTTTGATAGATTTAGCAAGTACAATATTTAAAAATATACAAATCTATTTAATGATTAAAAAATTTTTCCTCGTTTTGTGATTGTAAAATTCCTACGAACGGATGTTTGAAACAACCGCATGCCTTTGAATATTTGGATAATATTACAGCAGAAAACAAATGTTTTGTCGATCCAATTTTGCTTTGATTAGCTTAATAACTGGTGAAGTGCAAAAGCTTTGTGTTCAGATGGTACCGATTGCACAAAAATATGTACGTAAATATTTTAAAAACTGAAATCGTGTTATTTTGCAGCTTATTTATTTTTCTTGTCGATTCAATTGTGCTTTGATTACATTGATAGCTGGTGTATAAAGTAAAAGCATTGTAGTCAGACGATACCGATTGCAAAAATATTAATTTACGGTTTAAACACAGCACACTCCAAATCTTTAGAAGTAATTTTTGGACATTACTTAGGTGTCTAACTTCAAAAGCAGAATAGCCCTCAAGTCGAATTATCATTAGTGATAGCGGAGAGCTTGCGCCGATAGTAAGGTCGAACGGAAATTACTATCTATTTATGCAATGGTTCCTTGTTAAGTTATTATGTTAAGGTTTGTCGAATAGTATTTACAGATTTGCTACTTCCCTAGTGGACGGTTCAGGAAAATCTTAAGAATTCTATTAGATGAGGATATGTTCCAAATTTGAAGTCTTTAGCTTCAATACCGGCAAAATGGTGTACGTTCATACGAACAGATGGCCAGACGCAGCGACTATGTTTAGCTTTACTATGAGAACTTAATCGTCGAATAACTTTTCTTTTTTGGAAAATTTTGATATCATTATCATTTGCATGTTTTTTTCCAATTTTGAGGGAAAAAGGTATTCAAAATCTAAAATATACAGAATCTTTGTATTAATTACACGATAACTCTGGTGTCTCCCATTTTTATTGGGTACAGGTGTTGACGCAGAATTCCTCGGTATCGCTCAGCTCCTCTAAAAAACCGTCATGTCACTGATTGAATCAAAAGATGCAATACTAAACTAAAGTAGCAGCTGGCATTTCAAGCCCAATTCTATGGCAATCACGATTTTTTGAATAGAAAGGAATGCTCGCATTAGAATATGCAGAATTGGCAGTTGCTCAAACGTTTTCATTGATACATTTCTAGGTACTTAGGATTTAAATTAGGTCAGTTTGTGATCTACATATTCTTTCAAATATTTGTTTTGTTTGTAACTAAACTTAAATATAAAAATAAATCAGTAATCTAAATTGTATAAAATATACATACAACTAAATAAAAAATTTGGATACTCTATATAAAAAGACGTGCGAGGTATAGCTTAAAAACTGAATTTTAATAAAATTTCGATTATTTGTAAGACTTAATATGTGAACTCTTACGACGCCCTCAATAGGTGGAAATCAGCAGTAATTTTTTTAATTTTTGCTTTTCCAACTGTCCAAAAAATATACAGTTTTCACGACAAATGTAGGGGATATATAATTATTGACCAATTCTTCGAAGGAGTGAGTACTAACATAACTAAAATAGTAAAGTTCAGGCTCCAGAAATTTTAAAATTACAGCATATTTTTGTGTGCCATTCTCCGAAAGGGCATTACTGTTTTTTGGCGATACATATAGAGGAGTTAATAATTGATTTCTAAGTATCTAACTCTATAAAAAGATATACTGAAAACAGAAGATATAGCATTTTTGGTTTGCCTTTTTGGGCGTAGATATATAATCTAAATTTTTGATGAGCATCGTTCTCACGAGTAATTGCCCCAATAAGTGTATGTATAAGGTATATATATTTATCTATCAGCGTTAACCCCTTAGTGGACGTATCGAAAATCTTCACACCTTATGAGACGTGATTACAAACAAGGATATATTCCAAACTTCTAGTGTTGAATTTTCAATCAATCAATCAACTGCGTTTGAGCTGCATTCTATGGGAAATATATTTTTGAATAACTTTTCTTTATTAATCAAATGTTTAGAGCATGACAATGATATTCATGGGTATGTATCTAACAAGTCTCTATTATTTGATATACGTATATACGGATACCCTGATCTCAGCCCTATCTGCGTTGTTTAATATCTTCAATAGTTTGTATCAAGTATAAAAAACCAATACAAACCGAAATTACGACACCAAGATTCGAATCACCGTTGCCGACGTTGCGTGCATCATTTCTATCAACACCGCTGCTTTATAATTAAAAAAATAGACCAAAAAAATTTGCCTTTTCGGGAAAGAGCTCCGCCTATACCAACACCGCCACTGCACTGCTTGCGTAAAGAGTTACAAACAATTCAGCTGACAATTCAATCGTAATTTTGATTCTTCGAATAGGAAGGAATACACGCATGTGAATGTGTGTGTATATTTTTGAGAAAAATTGGCCAGGTTTGTTTAATAACTTCTGTTTTACTTAAAGGATTTGAATGAAATTTTCAGCATATGATTACATATTCTCTATATTTGGACTCCGTATTCAAAATATAACAAAAATCAAATTGTATAAATATACATTCAACTAAATACGAATTTAATAAATGCTTTTATAAATTAATAACTGCATTTCGATAATTAGTTTAATCGGTAACAATAAAACGGGAATAGTTATCGAAAATTTGTAACAAACTTGATATGCACGTGCCATACTGGGACATCCAAAAATATTTTAAGTGTATAGATGCTGAGATCGACGTGCTCACACATACGGACAGACGGTCGAATACACATACGGACAGGGCTCTATCGACTCGGATTGTCGTCATAATCATAAAAAAAAAACAAGTATACCCTGATTTCCCATTCTCAATGAGATCAGGGTATAAAGAGTATAACAAGTTTTATACTAGGTTTATTTATTTTATTACTTTTTGTACGTAAAATGGTTTGGTGAAGTGATTCAAAATATGAGTAGTTTTTTATTTACATCAAGGTAGATGCAGTGCTCAGCAAATACGTGCAAATATGTGAACGGCATAATGCCAGAGTAAGGTTTAGCTTAGACTCGACGAACATAAAAATGCAGCTGTCTGGTTATAGAATGAAACGTAGACTTTGGTGCGCGCCAGGACGTCGTTGTCGCATGTTACAGGCAGAGTGGTGATCCTTTTCGCTCTAGCGTATTCAATTAAAATATGGATAATGTTTTCGTACTGTAGGACCTTAATATTAAATGCATCAATCAGACTTCCTATGAAAATTTAAGAATTCATATCGTCATGATCACAAATTTTATGATTTATTATGTTAGATTTAACTAGTAGGATTGTAAGAATTTCCGCTGTCAACATTCTCAATGTCAATTAATTTTTCATTGCTCTCAGCTCTCTCTGATTCCATGGGTTTTTTCTGTCTCTAGCTGACCGGCGATTTTATAGCGCATCTTAAGGACGGACAACGGATTCGTAACGTGATGTACATCAACATCTAAACGTTTTTCAAATGAAACTAAGGAAATAATAAATACAAATAGTAGACATTTTTTGTTAATTTTTATTCAGTTAATTTGAGAATTCTAAAAATTTCTAGAGTATCTTATGAAACCATACTAATAAATGTTCATCTATCAGAGGTTTGTTCGCTACATGAAATATAATATTCTTTCTGGTAAAATTATATATTTCTAGTTGCTTCTGTTGATATTTTTCGATTCTATGTTTGATTGTTTATGTAAATCTATTAGTAGATGCATGTAGTATTGGTTGGGTGCCTGTTACGGAGTATTTTATTGAGGCGTGTAAGCTCAGTTGGACAGTAAGTCTTCATCTCTATCTTGAGGCATCTGACAATTTCCAAAGGGATTCTATGGAAGCCGTCTTCCAGTCAATTATTTTCTTGCTTAGGTTGCCCGTGATCCTTTCACTGCTTGTCACATTGTCGAGCTGCTCGCTTCTGCTTTTAAAGATTGAACCCATGCGGATGGCAACTCTTTCGTCTGAGTCGGAAAGACATCTGCTTTCGAATGCTTTCCAAGCCCGGAAACCCGGTCGTAACTGAAGTCTTCGTTGAGCAGTATTACTCTATTCTGTTAATAGATCATTCTTGTCAGGAAGAGTTAACTTGGTCAAAGTGCTACATAAGACATAGACACCGTCTAAGCTTTTAAACATTCTGCCTTTAATCCTATAGCCGTAGGATTGTCTGCGTATGTGCAGATCCTCTAAGTCTCCGTATATATACAAATAGTCTGAAAAGCGTATATGCATCTCTTCAGATTGCCTCCAGACTATATATTCATAATTGCCGTTAAATTGAAGGTCTCATTTTGTAATGCTTACTTGTACTATGATGAAGTGAAATTCTCTGGTA